TTAGACTTATTACACAATTCTAGCAGTGACATGCCTGTTGAATATTTTGGATCCGACAACCATGAGAGTACGTTGCGTTTGGTTAGTCAACTTGTATTTATTTTGTTGCATATCTACGCTGTTCTCAACCAATGTATGTCATTCGCATTTGTTTATTTCCGTATGAAAAAAACAACAACAGAAAGAAATGATGATACAAACTTATAAAGGTGTTCCATTGTCGTAACTTTTATTTGAGTTCATGAAAATTAAAGCATTTTATTCCTTTCGAAACCAACCACAAATCCGCCCGGCAAAATTATACAGTGTGTTCATTGCAGATCCTCTCCCTTCATTTTCATTTAGGTCAAAAACCCTCAGACTTAACGTGTTATCTGTTCCTTCGTCAAAAACAATAACACCAGCAATCTGTGTGTTGGCTGACTGTTCTAAGATTTCAGGTATCATGTACTTTGGAAGGTCAGGTGGAAAGTCTCCAGAGAATGTCCCGAACTCTGGCAACGGTTTTCCGTCCACACAGCATACCACAAATCTTATTCCCCTGCGCTGGTCTTCTTCTTGAATCTGCTTCGTGCTCTTCTCAAGCTTCTCTTCAATCCGCCTAGCTTCGTCGTCATCGAATGTATTTTCTGCAAGTTCAACAAGTAGTCTATTGTGTTCTGAGTCAGTGGGCGTGCTCGGAGGCAGGGTTGTTAATTGTGGCAATGGTCTTGGAGGGACTTTCGGTGGGCTCGGCTTGAAGGGCTCCTCTAGGCCGGGTTTGTCTGACAAAATGGCCCGAAGGTAGCTCCCGAGTGCCCCTTCGTGAACCGGGTTGTGCCGCTGGTCCCAGGAGAAGACGAAGCCCCGCCTGCCGTCCAGGTACGTGTCGTCAAACTGGGCGGCGATCTTGTGGTAGGCCCAGGTGGACAGGACGCTCGTGTCCTGCTCTCCGGCCTTGTACCTGTCATCCCCGCCGATCACTACGACCACTCGTCCTAAAACAATAAGTGTGATTTAATATATAAAGGGGGAATGTCTACGGAATTTTTATCATCTGTTAACATGTAAAGTTAAGTAAGTTAACGCGTGGCAAAATGAGTGGAGTGTCGCCGTTCATATTATTATCTAATACTTATACATGTAATTATATGAGCAGAGTATTTACATCCTTTTGTTTAATGTAACAATGACTGCACTGCCTTGTCGATATATTTTTGTAGCCGTGCTAAAAACATACCTTGTGCCGCCTCCTGTAGTGCCCTGTACAGTACAGCATACCCGATCCCGGCCTTTTCCTCGTTAATACTCAGACGTGACTCGTAGGCGTTCACTACCAACACCCCGCACAGGAGACGCCGCTGCCGGACTTTCTCACTCACCGCTTGTAACTGGGACAGTCGCAGGTTACGTGGACGTACGTCCACGTCTTGGCCTTTTGTAACACATTGGAACAAAGACACGACCGAATCCAATGGATATGTACCGTCACAGTTAACTATTAAAGCCTCCCTGGGCATGTTGGGGATTTTACTACACACAGGTTGCGCCATCTTAACAGAATAGTTCATCAAGTCTCGTCTTACAAACGTTCTGCCGTTAGTGCGCATGCTCACGTCACCGGGTTAGGAAAACATGTTCTTATCCATAGTAACTGAGCCTGGTACCAGTCTTGCGTAATTCAATAGGGGTATTGGGGTGTTCGGGCAGGTTGTGTCTTCGGGGGCTCTAATAGCTTCCCCCGCCCAGTGTAACAGACCGTCCCGGTAGGAGAGTTACCCTAATAAGAGACAATATGCTTGGGGATTTGGTTTCCCCCAACACGATAAATACTTAGTTCGTGGAAGGCTAATCAATCTCTCGTAAATTACACACCGGGAAACCTATGTGAGGCGGGCGGGACAGAGCTGTTGCGGCCCTGACCACGAATCAGACTGCATACCAGGCTATAGTAACTTTGTAAGTCACAGAACAAATATGTCATGTACTTAACCGTACACCGCGCCAATGAGGCCCACAATGGGGTATTGTAATCTACTGTCAAAATACCTGAATAACAAATCTGCATATGATCGTATTTTCCCGTAGGCTGTGTAAATAACTGTAGCGTTTGTATCTTGCCTTACAAAGTTACGAACTAACAGCGCTCTGCTTAGTACCAATTTCTGAATTTATCCTTTGGAAGTTTATCGTAGATTTAATTTTAAGGCCTCTCGGGTAAGACAGAAACGTCAGCATACCCAGTCATACAAGATAGGATATAGTCAGTCCAAAAACGAGCTGCTATATAGGTATGTAGGAATGACTACAGACAATCAGGGTACCAACATTGAACAGCTGCAGAATAGACTGGGCTGGCCAAGTCTTTGACACAGAAGGAAACGGGTACGTATAACTTAAGGGGCACACCCCAGTTTATTTTGGGTCTCAATTCGATTCTGCATGCCCTCAACTCTAGCGACCATCTCTCTCAGGAAATACGAGCGTATCTCTAAAGCCAAAACACTGTGCTTGCAAATGATATCCCTCTAGCTACGAGAACAATAGAATTTCAATTTCTTTCACCTCTCACATTTTAGTAAATGTTAGGGGGAAAAAGAATTTTTCGATGAAAAATGATGCCAAAAATTGGCCATTTTCACGTGGAATTAGACCCATCACCCAGAATTTAGCCACTAATATGACTTATATGGTCGGAAAGAGAAAACCCTAATGTATTATTAAGAAAAGTATAAAGAAAATCCTAACACTGAGATTATCACAATAACCCGTCGCGCGAGGCATAGCTACAGCACCCCCAGAACGCATACAAGGCATATCTAGGTCAAACCGAAGCACCGCAATCCAGGCGGAAGGACACCCGGAAGTAAGCCTCGGGCCCGAAATTAATTTTCACCCAAAACACGCCACTTCTTACACTTTCCAGCCATGTTAGTAGTTAATCCCATTTTGCAGCAGATTATGAGAAATGTAAACTCAAACATGAACCATCGGAACCCCATCGTCACTTTTTTTCCGCGCACTACAGTGGCCCCTGTCGCGGAAGAATTGGTGTGTGCACCGTTTAGTTGCGATACCTATCCATCTCAACAGGAACGCCAACATAACATGAGGTCACCCCCTTAGCCTGGTATCCAGTCTGGTCGTGATTGGGGGTATTGGGTTGTTCAGGCAGGTTGTGTCTTCGGGGGCTCTAAGAGCTTCCCCCGCCCAGTGCAACAGGCCGTCCCGGTAGGAGTGTTACGCTAATCAGAGACAGTTCGTGGAGGGCTAATTAATCTCTCGTGAAATACACACCGGGAAACCTATGTGAGGCGGGCGGGCAAGAGCTCTTACGGCCCCGAGCTCTTACGGCCCCGACCACGATCAGACTGGATACTAGGCTATCACCCCCTAGGTTTCAACACTTTTCTGTATGCAAAACAGGCACACATATAGCCAGTTTCTTTCCACAAACAAGCATTGAATTGATCAGCCTACACACTCACATAGTTACGGCACCAGCAACTGGCAGCGTGATAAATGATAAGTTGGGGCTGGCCCAATCTATTGGCCTACCCAACCCCCAGAGATAAAGCAAGTGTCCCATTACGGCCATGTATATATTACAAATGGTTTTGTCTCGCCATGAGCACTTTTTTCACTTTTTTATTCTATTGATATTCTAACCTTATGTACGTATATTGATAGTACAAACTGTGACTCTCGACATATGTCCAAATTATTAAGGATAAGGCTTTCAGATTGTACTTCTTTCATTATGAGTTTTCCATGTCTGTTGATACCGATAAGCTGAAATTTTACAGAAAATGTAAAATCGAACATTGTATAGAAAAATATCTTGAACTTTGTGACTTCGAGCAGCGCTCCACTATTAGTAAAATTAGAATCAGTGCCCACCCCTTGGAAATCAAAAAGGACAATTTATGAAACTACCTGTGCCGGAGAGGATTTGTAAATATTGCTCCTCAAATGCAGGGGAAGGAAAAGTCATTTCATCTCTAATTGTTCATTTTATGATGATATCAGAAACCAATTATACGCGTACACCATCGTTTCTAAAATGCTCCCTTGCTTTCGCACTATTCCTAACCATTACAAAACAATTTTACTAAAATCAAAGAACCCACATGTCATAGAAAAAAAGTGGTTAAATTTGTCTTCCACTGACTTAAAAATGATCAGTCAAACCCAACAAGATTAGTGTCACGTATGTTGTACAATGTAGTGTAATTTTGGGCGTAGTCTCTTATTTCATTGTACTTTATTTATTTTCATGCATGCTGTTTGTACTTGCACATGCATGTTATTTGTACTTGCAATTAGCCCTCGTGCATGTATTTGCAATAAAGTTTTTTTTTTTTATTATTCATTTAGTTTTGGAGCCCCCTCATCCCATCCCATCCGCCACATTTGCTAAGGACCATGGGCGGGATGCCCCTTAGGGGTTTTGGTCTAGTATGAAATAGAGATGCCATTCTGACACAGCCTACGTTACGTTAAGAAATTTTAACTATGCTGTGAAAGCTTGAATTGCACACCAACATGTAAACAAGCAGTTGTTGTCTAGTATGATCAGAATAATGAAGAACGTCCTGAATAATGCATGTCATGATATGGTTGTCTTGCTTACATGCAGTTCTAAAGTTTGAATCAGGGTAAATGTATTATCTATCTTCTCGTGTGGCGCAACGGCACGTGCGCGACTCGGAACCAAGAGGTCCCGGGTTCCAGTCCTGACATGCCACCGATCTTGTGCCCTTGGGAAAGGCACTTGACACGACTTAACGCACTAGACTCAAGTGAAAATGTGTACTGTCTGTCCAGTATTCGTTTCTATGAGTGAGACACAACACCAGCAACAGCTGCCTCTGTTCCGCGTGTATTGCACTGTTGCAATTTCAATAAATCAAATCTTCTCTAACTGGTAGATAGATAACTGGTAAGCCGTTGCAAAAATATTATGTACATTACACATCATCGCTGCGTCGTAAAGAAAGGAGAAATGATAGACATAATAATCAAGCAGAAACTTCCTTTTATTAAGCTATCTCTCGCTTCCCCTAGTAAGCATTAGATAGACTATATATAAATAGCCTAATATGATAATGATAACAGTGGCGAATTCGTAACACTTGCTTCAAGAAATACAAAATTGAAATATCTATATGCTATACCTATACTAGACCTACCTTACTCCCCAGTTTGTTGTATGACATATGGTAATTAACGTTAATAGCTCGCTTTTCTTTGGTGTATACGATGCCATGGGGAACTAGTATAAACCAGCTTCGTTCACTCGGTGTTTGTTAACGGTTACAGGAGCCAAGCATGCCTTTATAACTCCATGCACACCTCCTCAGAGTGATTGGTTGTATTATATTTCTAAAACTAAAATAGGTATGTCTATTTGAGGATGACAAGGAATTTTGTATTGCTTACCGGGATCTCTACCTCTTACCTTTCTTGCCCCAAACATAAATCTTTCTCTATGGTGTTATCTTATCAACTATGAAAATACATCATAGGTCTTACATTCTGTGTTAGACAAATATATTTATCTACTTAATATAATTTTGTGAAATGATACTCAATTTCCTTCTTCTACAGGTCATCAACTGAGACTTAATCACTTATTAGTTTGCCAGAAGTAAGGAGGAAGATAGTCAACAAGATCAGCCAGAAAGAGAAAAATTAATCCTAAATCTTCTCTTGGTGGATGTGCCCGAGGATGTGCCCGAGGACCGTCATCAATTATGACAGCAACTACAACCTCTTGCTCATACTTTTTTTCATTGATATCTTTGCGCATGTAATCTGGGATAGGGAACACGTCACCTTCATTGTAATCATACTGAACCATACGGCGCCCACTATCAAGATAGATGTGCATGGCTTTTACTATTCTACCTTTAGTCTCTTTCTCTATTTTAGCCTTCAGATACTTTGCTGCTTGGCCTTCCGTTCCCTTCATTATGAATGGAATACTCAATGCGGTAGTCTTATTTGGATTTGCAAACTGTCCCGACATGTGTTTCACGTCTGGGTCTGTTGACTTAAGGGGGCTCTTGCTTGTGTGGTGCGGTGGTGCACTTTGTTGTAATGTGCCCCTAAGTGGGTCATTTTGAACATTTATCGCATGGTTAGTTATTCCACGTGCACCTTTGTGTGGACCGATTTGATGTTCAGCAAGTCTATTGTGTTCTGAGTCAGTGGGCGTGCTCGGAGGCAGGGTTGTTAATTGTGGCAATGGTCTTGGAGGGACTTTCGGTGGGCTCGGCTTGAAGGGCTCCTCTAGGCCGGGTTTGTCTGACAAGATGGCCTGAAGGTAGCTCCCGAGTGCCCCTTCGTGAACCGGGTTGTGCCGCTGGTCCCAGGAGAAGACGAAGCCCCGCCTGCCGTCCAGGTACGTGTCGTCAAACTGGGCGGCGATCTTGTGGTAGGCCCAGGTGGACAGGACGCTGGTGTGCTGCTCTCCGGCCTTGTACCTGTCATCCCCGCCGATCACTACGACCACCCGTCCTAAAACAATAGGCAAGATTTCTGTGAATCTTCACATACATATTCAACAACCTTTCTGACAACGTTAAAACTATTTTTGATTTTACATGCACAACTTGAGTCTACTGCCACGCAGTTTTTGTCCTTTTCTGTTGATGAATAAAAAAGAAACAAAGCAACAAACAGGAACTTCAACACTAATGATAGATCAAGGACAAATAAATGTCGCATTAATTCACACCTAACATTATAATGTTTATGTTACTTGTTCTGTTGCACTAATGTAAGGAAAATAGAAAAGCTAAATCGTAGTTAGTTCTTACATTTTGGCACAGCTAAACCTTGCTAAAAGAGGTCACTCGAGGACAGATGAGGCCTTACGGATTTGTGATGTTTTCAATACCATATTAAACCGGAAAATACAATAGGTGCATGCTAAAATTCTTTTGATGACTAACTATCATGTCCCTAAATTCAGGACTACATTAAAGATACAGTTGTCAGGCATATAGTATGTAATGGTTGTTTTTTTATACATTTTCTTTTCAACTTCTACCTCACTTGCTAGTACGATTTCGAATGCCGATCATAATGTCGAAATAATGTCTCAGTAAAAAGGGAACATTTTGGTCTATAGAAAAACACATTAAAGTTTAGAAAACTCGTGCAATACAATATACATCTGCATCATATAGGACTCTCAATAATGTAAAATTTGTTCTAAACAAAAGGCTTTTCTTCTTGACGAACAATGTTTCACCATGTTCATGTATCTCATGTATTAAGTCTGATATTTTCGTTGAACCATACCTTGCGCTGCCTCCAGTAGTGCCCTGTACAGTACAGCATATCCGATCCCGGCCTTTTCCTCGTTAATACTCAGACGTGACTCGTAGGCGTTCACTACCAACACCCCGCACAGGAGACGCCGCTGCCGGACTTTCTCACTCACCGCTTGTAACTGGGACACGTTACAGTATTGTTTCTCTATCCGAATATTAGATCCAACACAAGCATTTTTAGCAACTTTTATCAATTCCTCTACAGATTCTAACGAGTAGGTCTTGTCGCAGTTGACAAGTAAAACATCCATGGCGGACTGGGTAGCTTTCTTGTTGAAATACTGAACAAACACTAAAAGGGCCTCCTGGGTTGTTTGACCGCGTGATAGGCAGGTCACATGTTTTTGCGACGTCGACATTGGGTAGTCTCGCAAATCCGTCGTTATGGGAGGGTAGTTGATGCAGAAATTTTAGGTACCCGAGACTACTCAAGTACACACACGATTAGACTATCCACGGAAAGTTCTTATATAATATATACACCATGTTAAGGTATCTTTTCCGTCGACCATCCAGGTGCCAATCTTTTCGGCAAAACCCATTATGTCAGCTTGACTAGACTACTACACGTTTGAAAGGGGTAAAGTGCACTGGGGCTAACAGGGTCCTGTGCCAACCGTTTTCCGTCTAGATTGGTATGTTTCGACTGTATATAGACACCAAAACATGAATGATTAAGTATTGGCTAAAATAACACAAGTCTAAAGGAAGAATTGTTAAGAAAGCATACTACACTGCTGCTGTACAAGAACATGACTGGATTGCCCGTGTACTACGTATACTGTGAAGACTTGGTGCACAAATTAGTTGGCTAAACCATCATGTCGATGTCAACTTATTTAAAAAAAACATATTCAAGGGACAACTAAAGGACACATTTCTTTCCAACTGGAGACAAAACATCAGGAGCCTCAGTAAATATCGAACATGTTCCAAAATAAGACAACTTTTGTTCTGTTGGCAATTCAGTCATTTATAACTAGCAAAACAGGAGTGAAAATCAGTGCACATTGCTTAGAAAATTTGAGGAAAAACACACGAGCCGACAGAATTTTCCCTACTTGCAAAGACAAAATTGAAGATGTACACATGAACCATTTCCTAATGATGTGTCCTCCTCATAACGAAGGAAGGAAAAGATTGATGATTCTTGTCACAACAAGGCAACATTACCTAGAACAGGTAGAGAAATATTCAACGTGCCACGGCTCTGCCTATATATAGCTAGGCCAATATGTGAAGTCATGCTTGCATTAAAAACAACAACGGTCAAAATCATTGCAGGACATCAACGAAGACAATCAGTAGAGAGACAGACTTGAATTCATTCAAAACATTATCACATAATACGTAAGTCAATACATCTCATCTCAACACAAAAATACAGGGATTGTGTTCACACAGCTACATATGATGCACAAAATTTCTTTTTTCTTTAGGATGTACTCGTACAATATTCTGAGGATTGACTGAGAATTATATTAAGTGGAGTGGGCAAGTGAACTTCTAATACATGTATATATATGTAGAAGTTGTAGTTGTAGTTTACCTCGGAGGTCCTAAATTCGAGACAGCATGTATTGCATGATATAATGTTAGTTGTAGCAAAACAAAGAATCCAGACTATTCATGATATGTAAAAATGTTATAGAATCCACCAAAAGGCCCTTGGTTCACTAATCATTTGCCTAGTAACATTTCTCTGGACTTAAACTATATATTGTGTAAATCAATACTTGTACTTTTCCTGATGAATACCGACATCATTGCGTTAGAATTTCCTAGAATTTTTTTATTTTTTTCTTTTACTTTGAAAACAGCACATCATTGCGTTAGAATTTCCTAGAATTTTTTTTTTTGCTTTTTTTTTTCTTTTACTTTGGAAACAGCACATCATGAATGACAGATCTCATTCCAAGGCTCAACGTTGACTCTACTTCGCCCCAGAACTGCCTCAGCCTAGCAACGTCAAATATGTCCTCATCTTCCAGCTTCCGAACTGCCTCATTCACCTTAGCCTCATCCCAGAAGTGGTCCACTGCGATTTGGGAGATGAAGTCCCTGATAGTCATGGACGCAGCGTCTACAAGTGAACAGATTCGGCACAAAAACATACATGTACATAAAAAATGAGGCAACAGAACTCCCATGAATCGAATCATTTTTTTAAACACAACACTCAACCGGTCTCCTTACATGAACAAATAGCATAGGAGTATTATCAAGATCCTACAGGATTTGGCATTCAAGAAGTGTAAGAGTTACCATTGCCAAACAATTAGGGTTGGGAAAATTAATGCTGTGTGTCCGAAAAATGGTCTGAAAACACTAGTATCAGTATATATCTGAATGGTTAAAATATGATACTGAAAATTACGTTTGGTACCATATTGTCTAAAATGAATTCTGCATATTATTACGTATCATATGCAGAATTCATTTTAGACAATATGGTACCAAACGTAATTTTCAGTATCATATTTTAACCATACAGATATATACTGTTCAGGAATAATGATATAAAAGAGAATTAACAGATGTAAAAAGGACAATATGAATGTTCGTTATCACTTTGTCTATTGCAAAAAAATAAGAACAGTTACAGATCACTCACACTACACCCTGGACAGGTTTATGCTAGGGTGAGTAGGACAACACATATTTCCCCCTATGTGCCTTACAGAAGTAAACGATCTCAGCTCCCATTTGTTACCTTTGTTGTGATAACTGCACGAAAAGTTGGATCTACCAAGTAGTAAAAACTAGTGCATTTCGGTGATGTTTACTTTATAAACAGTAAAAGGTACGAGTATAACGGCGATTCCGGACTTAACAAAGACTGGATTTGACTTTTTAAAAATTTTCTACCATTGTTAAGCCAGGTACTGTTTACAGAATATACATTACCCGGTTTATTACCATAACTGAATGCAACTTTTCGTGCAACATATTGAAGGTAGATCTCACATGTATGTTTTTCGCGTTCTTTTGCGTAGGTCTCCCGCTGCTGCTGCACCTTGATGTACCCTTCAGCTGCTACCAGGGCCGTGTCCAGGATGTCCATCACACTGATAGCAGACTCTGGAGATATCTTGGTTTGAGTTGCAATGTGGTTGACGAAAGCGAACGTTCTGTCGATGAATGATAGAAGTAACGTTACTCTATTTTAAACAAATCCAACAGCTAATGAAAAGAAGTACGGCAAATAAACCAAATCATGTACTTCGACAGCCCAGTATTTATTCCCAAAACGTGATATATTTTTACATGTAGATGCATTTATTGATCTTTATATATCTTAGTTGACTGTACTTTAAGTCAAAGTCAAATGTACGTTTTCCTTACGCTGGGATAAAGGAGGGTATATCATTACGTATTAAAGGCATAAAAAAGGTCTCCCGTGCTCTATGCAGAACATAGGGTTTGGTGCCCATGCCCATATCCGTAGCCCTTGGGCGACACACAGTTGTGCAGGGCACTACAGCAGGGGGCTGGTCCGCAGGTAGTGCTGTGTGTTTGACCTTCCCACACTCTTTCTCATATGTGCTGAGTGCTAAGCAGAGAAAGAAGTGTGTACCATTTTTTAAAAGTCTTTGGTATGACCCGGCCGGGGTTTGAACTCACGACCTCCCGGTTACAAAGCGAGCACTCTACCAATTGAGCTATTGCACCGGTATACCATCATATAAAGGCATACCATCTGGGTTAATTAAGGCCCCTGTTACACATTTAGGACCTTTCCCCGACATTGCCCCCCGAACACCAGCAGACCTAGGCTAAAGTTCGGGAGCAGTCTGACATGTTTGTCTGGTGTTAGCTGTAAATCAATAGAACACCAGGCAACCAAACGGGAGTAAGTCAGCTGTTTTCGCTGTGTGTTTGGGAGTCTAATTTGACTCATATTTAACTTAGATTCGTTTTAGATTAGTACATGAAGGTAAGCATGTCCTAAATCCGGTCAGACTGTAGACGACAACATTAGGCTGACGTCGGTAAGCGAGGTCGGGAACGTCCATAATTCGTAACAGAGGCTTTTTAAGTTAGTTATATTCAAGGTCTTGAGAGATCATGATAATCTAGTTACACAGCTCGTAAATTATGGAATAGAGGTGTTCAAAGTTGCGGGGCTTATTTCGATTTGTTTGTTTGACCTAAGGACAACATCTATGTTATACACGTACCTGTCGAGTGGACTTCCCATTGCGGCAGACATTTTGACCATCTGCCTTCCTCTCTTTTCTTCGTTGACGAAGTCCCTCTCACTTTCAAAAGCCACCGCGCCCACAGGACTGTATCCTGGGAGAGGGAGGGAGAATAACAACGACACTGAAGCCAGCAGTAAAAGAAGAACGCTTAAAACATCATAAAATGTGACATAATGGTAGTGGTCGAAAGTTGACCGACATTCTTCTTACCTTCCTCCTTTAAGCCTTTCCTAATCGCTTGCATCTTGGCGCTGTACTCTTTGGGATCCTTGTGGCCCAGAATGCAGATAATACCATGCATTTTGTCCTTCAGCGGGATATAACCCTGCCGCATGGCCTGACCGCGGGGGAGAGATCCTGCGTCTTCCTCTCTCGCAATCACCTGAGACGGCCGGATTCTCCCTGGGAGTGAACCAATACATACATTAAACCAAACAGGAGACGTTATCTCATGACACTGGAAATTGATTTCGGACAGTGGGCATTTCTATCAATGTTATCTGTGAGAACTTCCAGAAATGTCAACTTTTGACAAAGATAGACACTGATGAAAGGCACATTTCTACAGCGGGAATGTCCAGACATTGAAAAGTGTTCACCGTTAGACCGAAGATTTTCAAAGAAATGTTTTCAAAGAATATATGTGTGTGTGTGTGTGTGTGTGTGTGTGTGTGTGTGTGTGTGTGTGTCCGTGTTTGTGTGTGCGTGAGTAACCTGTATATATGAATGTGAGTAACCTGTAAGTATGTTATTCAACTCTTGATGCATGGACTCGTTCAAGTCGAAGAAACCCCTGGTGTCGAATAGATGGAAGTTTAAGTCGGTGAGGAATGGCAGCAGAATGATCGTCCCCTCTTTAGCATCCGACTGTGTCATGATTGTAGTCTTTTCTGTACAGACATAGACAACAAACGTGTACAAAATGAGAACATACATAGATACCTACAGATGTCATTCTCGCCTTGTGAGACAAATAATAATAACAAGAAGCCATAGGCGACAATTCTCCGTGAAGTATTATATATTGCAACAAAAAGAAGTAGCCATTGGCGACAATTCTCTGTGAAGTGTGATAAATCGAACAAAGAAAAATTGTTTAAACGCGCGTCGGCTCAGTCATCTTAAGACGCAACAACCAATCAGAGATGCGAGATGCCTACACGTGACGCGGGAAGGGCGCGCGATGCCCGAAATATTTTTGCGTCAATATTCAGCGCCGTGATTCAAGAGATTAATACCCGGAAACAATTTTTTTCTTGTTTTGAACGCATTAACATGCATTTACGCTAATCTAGTATGATTCAGGGTTACTTTTTTTTTAACCTGCCATGGCCAGATTATCTAAAGATGTGTGTATTGTGTGTACAATCTATAGAAAGAGAAATGTACATCAGGTCCGATCATCCGATTTTCACGTTTCGGTTTTTTGGACTCGGTTCATGAACGTATTTTGGTTTGGCTCCTGGAATGTGCGAAAAAAATGACTCCCGGGACTGTCTACAGGGAACACTCGCACATTCGCGGTGTATCAGGACAGCGCGACTGGTTGTCGTTAGCGCAGTAACAGTTGCATAAACGGACGAAACCATTTCAAAGAAATGGGGATGTTTCGAAAATAAGCATTTACTCCAATATCAAAACAGCTACGGTAAAAATAAAAGACGTGCATCATCCCGGACATAATGCAACACCACATGCGAAATTACACAGAAATGCGACGTACGGAAGAATGCGTTTTGGCTGCGAACATCTTCCAAAAAACTTGGCATCTCTTAACCATGGGCAAAAACATCTGGAACCACTTATAAAAACCACCCCGTATCTGCATGAACTTTTTTGAACCCCACTGCTATTCCAAACAACGCGTTTTTCTGGACCATTCCAATTCGCCTCGTAATTGTAGGGGTGCGTCTGCGATATTACATTGACCGCGAAAGCAGCAACGGCAAAAATACACATTCGTGCATCAACACGGGCATGCCCGCAGACGGCGTATAAAATTGCGTGCCGATTACACAAAGAGAACCCAGTGTTTTGACTGCGAACATGAAAAATCAGCCGATTACAACACTCCGTCCGGAGGTCCTGACCTCCTTCACGGAGTAATAATAAATAAATCCACAAAAATGTAAATATCCTCTTAACTAACCCCGGTTAGGCCATGTTGATTTCATTATATGGATGACATCCATGCACGCATGAATTTTCGGCCGTTTCCAAAAAAAAAAAGTTTTCAACCATACTGTAAATCGTACAAAACAGTTGTAAAATGAGCAAAAATATACCGTAAGTTACAAAAAAATAAGTAAAAACTATACCAATGTCGTAGAATGCCAAAATCAAACAAAAAAAGACGAAATTGTAAGGAAATGAACTTGAAGATTAGATTATTCGCCAAACCATATTCTGTGCCATTTGCTCAACCCTCATGACCACGTAGATTTCATAATGAAAACAACTTTTTTTTTTATTCGCACGCACGCATCAGTTTTGGGGCTCCCGGAGGATGTCATCCATATAATCAAATCAACATGGCCTTAGGACAGTGTCAAGTTGAAGCATTAACAGTGTCAATGATGCATTCATTTCTATCATTTTCATAATTTTATTCATCCCGCTTGTACGTTGGTTTGGGCGTTTGTTGAAAATATGGACCTACATGTATGGTATGTATCATTATGGACGCATTCTTATGGACGCTTTCAGTGCACGTGACATCTTTGTAACATTATAAATTTGTCCTAAAGCTTGTAAAATGAATGAAAGACCTTTATTGTACGTTTGTGCTCTAACAAGCTAAGTACAGGTCATGGATAAACAGGGAAAAAGAATACAGCAATGACACTTACATACTATACATACTAATGTGATCTACTATTTACAGGTTCAACTTCTCGCTTCTTGACGCAGTTAAAGATGTACAAACATATTGAGCTAATGATACATGGTTTGTCTAGTTTCATGAGGAATTCGAATTTTTCTATTCTGTCTAAATGTCTACAGCTTGGGAACTTATCTATTACATAAGTATAGAGGGAATCCCTCTCATTTCTATATAATGTGCAGTCAACTACAAAATGGCATTCATCTTCAATATTATCTACTAGTAGATTACTAGTCGCGTCTCACTGTAGCTGAATACCAAACATGTAACATGGCGTGGCACCTTTACAGGACAAACACACTTTTAATCAATTCCACGATCTGACCTCTGAAAAACAATTATGGACAAGACGCAAGCTGATAATTAACCGTTTCACAAACAATGGAGAAATCTAATGTGGGGCTCCTTATTGAGCCATCAGAGCCCCTCCTTTTCTGGAGCCCGACAAGGGAGAGGGTTGCTATGTTAAGCCCCTGTCAAACATTCACGACCCTGGTCTACCGAACGCCCACCGACCGTGGTTAGGAGCCGGCTGGCGTTCGTCGAATTCTCCAAGGTTCGGCTACGCCAACGGAATGTTTAAATATGTGTATTAGTGGATGTTCGGGATGATCCGTCTGGTTGGCCAGCCTGGATACCATACTCAAAACCACAACAAGACTGGCAATGAAAACACATTGCCATGGCGACGGTGGTTGCTGTTAGGGTTATTGTTTGCATGGCACTGTCATCATTTCATGATTTTGAGGAAGACCTGGTACCTGTTAAGTCTAGACAGATACAGTGCACTCTCCCCCTGAGTGTATAGTGAACAAGCCCCGGGGTCACAGAAAGTAAGACCATCCGGGACAGACAGGTCTTCCCAAGGGTTTCCAGGAATGTGGGCATAGATGTGGGTCAGAGACATGCCTGTGGACATTCCATTCCTGTGGACAAAATGCCTGTACCATTCCTAAATTTCTTGCAAACTGCACACAATTCTGTACCATTAGGCTCCTCCCTGAGACGTCGCCAAAAAATTAGGTCAGTGTGGCCTTACAATGAAACACTCGCCGACCACTACTACCCCCCTCCGCGACTCATTAGGGAACGCCCTCCAACCTCAGCAGACCATAGGGCCATAGGGTTGTATATTAAAGACTGTATACACGTTTAAAAAAACCTCCAATGATAGTAAAAGCCCAAACTTACCCCATACTAGTCACCCACTCTTGTATCAATTAGGTTTATGAAAGTGTTGCTTTGTACTAGTAGATGCCACACTTTGTAGAAAAATGAACTTATAAACTTAGCGCGCGGGACTGTTAAAATTCTTTGCATGACAAAGCTGGCAAAAAGAGGTGACATACCCAAAAACTTTGAAAAATGCAACAAAGTTGAAATTTCATTGTGTGGCATGACTTGTATGGACGACTATCGTGTAAGTTCCACGTCAATATCACTATAGTTTGTTTTCTTTTCATCCATGACTAGCTTTGTTTTGTCACATACATACCGAATAGAACCTGCTTTTATACACGATACATGTTGCCAGTGTGCAATGTCAAATCTAAACCTAACCGTTAGGCTCAATATATAATTTCAATTCAATTCTTTATAAAGATACCAAACATAACAGACAAACATGGCATACAATGTTGCCTGGATGGCGTTGATATTTACATGTATACAAAATGTCAAATATCATATATTTACAAAAACTATAAAAACAGTACAGTAGGTGTACAACCCAGATATTTAACAAACTGACCTCCATGATATAATACATGCATGTCCAACACCCACAGCTCACTACTGATATGAAAGATCGCAGTGTGCGTGTCAATTAGGGAAGGCTAAAACCGACAGCAATTGAAGTGCAAACGGTCAACAAACTTTACTCGCAAGAACCTAGACTCAACAAGACAAGAAGCAAGACTCAGCATAATAATGTTGTCATAACTTACCTTCATAGAGTGGCTGTTGTTCTTTTCCTGGCATCGTTCAAGATGGAAATACATCGAAGCACTCCATGTCTCAATAACTGATAAAACGGTGTCGAGAAGTTCCATGTTTTTGACATGTACAACTACGACCGTCGAGCCTACTACTTCCTACGACTATGCTCCACTGATCGTATGAAAGAAGAATGTGACTTTCCTGATTTTTTGTTCCTGAAGAGACTAGTAGCCAACCTCGCTGATCACAGCCCTCTACCACATTACCACTATAGTCATTATCAGAAGAAAAGTGTTGTGTACCTACCAGGGCCCAAGAGAATTGTTTCAGCAATCTGAATGAAACTTGACTTGCCGCTTCCAGTGGGCCCAAACATTGCTGAAAAACGATTGTTTAAAGACCATGACAATTATGAATTATCCACTAATCTTGTAGAAAAAATGTGTCACTGACTTGGGGAAACTACATATTAAATAAAAAATTTACTTTCTTCACAACATATGATAACAATACATATGAATAGATATATATAGCATGTTTAAATATATATATATATATATATATATATATATATATATAGAGAGAGAGAGAGAGAGAGAGAGAGAGAGAGATACATAGATACATAGATACATAGATACATATATAAATAGATACGAGTAATAGATACGAGTAATAGATACGAGTAATAGATAGATAGATAGATAGATAGATAGATAGATAGATAGATAGATAGATAGATAGATAGATAGATAGATAGATAGATAGATAGATAGATATACCTATGTTGACGTGGCCAATTCCCTGTTTGGCGATGTTTGTTTTAGAGCCGACTGTGTAATTTTTCAGGCCACTTGTAAGACCGCTCCGAAGAACGGTCATCCTCTTGGTAAGCTCTTGTTGCTCCTTTCTCTCACGTTCACGTCTCTCCCTGTCATCTCTCTCCTCCCTTTCTCGTTGCCGACTGGCCCTTTCCCTTGCCAGCTTTTCTTCGTGTTTCCTTTCAAGTTCACTCTCGGCTTTCTTGACAGCATCTTCATCGTAGCGCTCATGCCACCTCACTTCTTCCTACATGGCACATGAATCCAAGTGGGAAACAAGGAGGAAATACTGTAAATGACATACTACAAAATGTCTTCACAATTTTACAATGCAAGCTTCCAAGATCTACCGATCTTATACGTATGCAATAATACAAGCATGTTGTACGGGCTAAAGCTAATTGTGAGGTTTGCACCAAATACAAAACATAATGGTTTTCATTTCTCTTTGTTTTCCCAATTATATTATACATGTTGAACCGGAAGAATAAAAAAATCAATGCTACCATTTTTTGTTGCCTTGGACACACATGTTTAGAGTTAGATTTTGCTCTTCACTGAGTTTATTTCTTTACTTAATCCACATTCACCTCCATTAAAATTCTAACGCCAGCAGCTTCTCGTTTTATCGATATGCTTTCAATAGTTGGAAGCATACATTATTTGGAAGCATATTCATGTCCCCAATTTTGTGGCCAACACATGTTGGGAAGGTTCAACTTGTTTTATCTTAAATGTAATGCTGATGTTATCAAGACGTCTTAGTGGCATTGCAGAGTTTGAACGAGTAAAACAAAAGCAGTACCCCCAATCTAAGAGGGTCTGAAATCCGCAGCACAGGGAGCGTGTAATGCACAGAATGACCGGCAGGACAAAAAGTAAAGTTAGGACTGCAGACGCACTTCAGTCATGTGAACGTGTAAAAGACTTTTGGCGAGTTGCCTATTAAATAGGCAACCATGTATTTATACTGTGAAAATGGGGTTGTAGTAAAATTTTAAGAACGAAACCACGTAACAACCGTTACGGCGTTTGTACTAATGTTACGTATACGACAGTAAAAACTCACCTTTTTCCGTGTGAACATCTTGCCGCATACAGTATTGTGCTCCCTGAAAAATAAACTTGAAGTTAGAAATTGGCTTTCTGACGTTGCAAAAATATTGCTCACGTCTGAGCTAACATTGGTTGGTTACGTTCACAAAGCTCGTATTGTACTTGAGCCACAACGTGGTCACAATGTTCTTGTACTTGGATGTACAGTAGACGATAACTCAAGATGGCGACAGATATTTACTAAGGTGGCGGTACGATGTTGGCCTGTAAGTTCAATTCTCCTAAGACTAATGGCGGTTGTCTGTAAACAGATTTAAACCAACCACCCAACCACAAACTTCTGACGAAATAACACCAAAGCGCATGCGTGTATGTCCGCCCTGGTCTCCTTGCAAGGTTTATTTGTGAATTTCATTCTTGCTGCGATCCCGGAGTGCTGTCACCATGGGACCAGGCGTACGTACACCTACGGTATATTCAGCTGCACGAGTTGTACCTAAAGTACATGTAATCTACCATTATGGAACTTCTCTCAATGTGGATCCTTTGATGTGAATGCAATCGTTAGAGTCCTTTCCACAACTAGCTATCTAACCCAACGATGTATTTTATGCTCACCTCAAAGTCAAAGTGAATAGATTTGTGTTTCATTGGGTTTTTGTAACTATATTCTCGCATATATGTGCATTTGTCTGTATCATGACAGTTACTGCTGGTTCATGTACAAAGGTACTCGATGCTGGTGCTGACAATATTTTGTACTAATTTAGAACACTGTTTCTTCACAGCTAAGCAAGCTATTTGTTAAAACAAAGGTCGTATACGTTGATAAATACACGGATGTTACTGAAAAAAGAGTCCGAGAAGCAGAGGAAAGGAAAGCTAAAGAGCTGAGAGAGCAAGCTGAGAGGGAACGCAGAGAAATACAGGAGGCTGAAAGGCGAGACGAGGAAAGACGAAGACACCAACAACACCAAGAGGAACAGGAGAGACTGAGGAACGCAGAACGCCTCAGACGATTGCAGCAGGAAGCACTCGGGGAGAGGACAAAGCTGCTTCTCTACAGATTCGGCGACAAGCATGGTTTACGTAACTTTGCAACCATTGACATACGCGACATGCAGCAAAGTGCCCGTGGCCTACGGATTGGCATGTTCGGGCCATCCGGGTCTGGAAAGAGCAGCTTCATCAACACTTGTGAGCGTGCTGTTAAACAGACTATAAGGGGTAAGTTCGCCTATGTGTCTGTATTTATAGACATATGTATACACTAGCTTCTCGGAAAGACAGAAAACTTCTAAGGCCATAGATGCATTTCGTGCCAGTAAAGGAAATTAGGTGATATTACATGGCATCTCTGGGCCGTCTATTTACATGTATAAAAGATTTTGTTTGTTTTGCTGGCTATTAGGGGAAATGACAACCCTTGACATGACGCATCGCCTTAGTTTTGTACTGAAACTAAGCCGTGCATCCATGCTCATAAGGTTGAACATAGCTATATATTTCTCATTTGCGAATGATCATAACAGATGATAGATTATAGATATAAACATAAGAATATAATGTCTAAGATTTAACATTTGACACTTTTGTAATATTACCCAGGAACCTGTGAGACCCAAACAAGTGGGCAGGAAGGAACAATCCTCGTCCAAGAGTACCTTGACAACATCGGTAGCAAGTTCTGCTTGGTCGACACTCGCGGCTTCTTCAACTACGGTAATGAGGAGTTCACGGCCATGAAAAACATCGTATATGGACGGATCAAAGCAGGCGAGAAGATCGAAGTCACCGGTGAAGAACAAGTGGATGAAAGCAACAGCCAGGACACCTTCACTGACTGGCTTCATGCCATAGTTATCGTCTTGTCAGCCAAAGACCCACTACTTCTTGACGGGACACACACGACGAACCTGAATACCATCCGGCACTTTATGAAACCAAGAGGTAAGCTATTAACGGGTTAGATTGATCATGATCCGTTGTAAGACTTAGTTATCCCTCTTTAGTAACCTTTCACTTCGGCCAACGTTGATAAAATTAAACTTACCGCTTGGTCGTGGCCATGGGGGTACTGAACTACTTCGACATAAAGAGGAAGAAGTTGGGAGAAGAGTTGTATTCAACAATGGTATTAGCAGCAAAATTTGGTAATGTTTACTTTATAAATAATACCTGACTTTACAATTGTGGTAGTAAATAAAGTATGGTGATTTCGGACTTAACAAGTGTTCTAAGTGAAATTAAAGGACTTTTATTGACTACCATGGTAAAGCAAGGTACTTTACTACTTAGCCCGACTTTTCGTCTGTAACATGCTTATGCATAAAACGAAGGCCATTTGCTACAGGCTACAAATTTCATGGTCAATATATTTTTTATTGACGTATTTTTGTAGGTATAGCCCCGGTGACTGTTATAACGCACGTTGACCGGGTCCGAGGCAATCATGAATTGGAGAGGATCAAACTGAAGGCGTCCGCTGCTACAGGAAGCCCTCCAAACCACGTCTACTTCATTCAGAACTACCACCCAGAGCATGAGGAGCGAGACTTCAACACTGAGCTGCAGGCAATGAAAATACTCAACGCTGCCCTCGTTGTGGGGGAGAGATTCGTGAAGATTTCCAAACAGCAACATCAGTACGATGAAGAGACAAAGCAAGCAGCTGCAGGTAAGGCATTTTTCTTGGAAAAGCGTTTCACTTTCCTTGTAGCGTACACGGAGCAGGTTATCCAAGCTAGACAAAATACAAATGCACAATTACATTAAATAAGAGGAGACAAGATTAGGATGCTATGTACTGATTGTTTCTGTGCATTGTGAAGATTACCCTGTAACCGGTTAGGTTTAGTGATAGCTATTGAAATTAAATTACATAGCCTACAGAACTTCTTTCTTACCATTTATTGATCCATTTCCACCCATTTGCAGTTCTCTGTTGTTTTTGGCACGTATTTTGTCAATGTATACTTGTATGTTTGGTGGTGAGTTGCAAATAGATAAATTAAAAAATAATAATAAATAATTAATGTCAATTTGACCATCTTTACAGCTCGATCGAGGACACGAGAGTCTATCGATGATTTCTTCGACATGCTTTGTCAAACCAAGAAAATCCCGGTAGGTCATAACTCAACGTGACATATCAAACTGTCTATATTCCCTAAAGCTTAGGATCGATTCAACATTTTGTTTTCGAATTCGCGAACCATTAGTTCATTATTCACTATTGACTGTGACGTTGTTTGTTGTACAGCATGACAGGTTCAGTCCAACCATTTCTGCCTTGAAGAGAGAAGACGTTACAACGACCAAACTGCTTCGAGACCACTGGACCGCCCTGGAAAACATACTACCAATAGGTCCAAGAATGAAAACGTACATTAAAGATGCCTTGTTTGAAAAAAGCTAGGCAACCCCCCTGATACTTCAATGAAGCTTTTTACACACTTGATGTCAGTCGTTCCTCAAACAAAAGCTTGTGTTATAATTGGATGCTTGTTTACTCAATATCGATGGTTTCAACCAACTTGTAGTTCTTCTCATATGATTTCTTGTTCTGGACTTAACTATCACTTAACCAAACATTAACTACTCGCTTGTGAGGGGTATACTACAACAGCAAAAACCCTTAGCCATAATGAGAGGTGCGATTGCGATAAAATTGATTAATCCGAATTGTTGCTACAGTCTTGTAATGCTTCACCAGGTAGGCAGTGGACATATGGGATTTAATTCATGTCGCAGTTTATTTTGGTGTTCATTGTAAACCCAAAACTTGTATGACTTTATACAATGTCGTAGGTAGATTGTTGAAGACTACTGAAATGACACTAAACGACTAACTTTAAATCGCCATCTGATAGAATTTTAAAAATGTAGCAATTTCTGTATCAATTTAAAAAGAAAGAGCATAATGACTCTTAAAGATGACCTTAATTACGTACTGGCAGCATAGTACACCAAATGATTAGATTTTTCAATAGATTGCAAACTTAAAACTGCAAATTCCGTCAAACTTCACCAATAAAAACTATAATTTCTTATGAACATGTCTTCTATGACTCCCATTGGTCATGCTTAGGATCTTAACACGAAGTCTCGATAAGGTATTTTCAACTTGAGGACAACTTTGCATGAATCAAAATATATTGCGTACACATATTTTAAGTTGCTTACACATTTAGTGCCTTTGCAGAGGCCAGTGACAAAATCTAAACAGAGTAGTAAAGCTGAAAATTTCACCAGCAGAGAACACTGAAAGGCAAACCTAAAACTATGTGTAAATATTTTGTTTGTAATCACAAATCACAAATCCGTCGTCAAATTTCGTATTGTGAATAAACCGCAAAGATCGATTGCATTTTGAATATAATATAAGAAAAATGGCATTACCCTTCTACCAATTGCCCAATTCCTGTGTGGTCAACATGTGCAACCTACTGTAGTTTTTCAACATGTCCTTGACCCAAGAACGGTCATCTTAGAGGGCTCGAGTGCACTACTCAAGCGTTCATCGTCATCAAATAAGCAAGAACAAAGGACCGATTCGCCACAATTCATGTTTGTAGTACATGTCTTTGTAAGCCATTGCTATAGCCATACCCAACATTTTGTCCTCCCAAATGTCTGTCCAAAAAGTGCGTTTTAAATTGAAGGCTGTGATTGTGCAACATCCCAACACCGTCAAAGCAAAATCTTAACAATACCTCCATTTTTCATGGAGGTAATTAGAACATTGGCATGCATACATTGAGAAGCCTTCTCCCCTTTCCTCTTCTCTGGTTCTTCACAACCTACTGCAGTGTTGTCGAGGATACACAGAAACATGTAACAGGGCAAAGGCCAACACGCCTTGGCTACGTGGTGAAATGTTTAGTCCTGTCGAGTAAAATTATCTGCCCACTTCGGCGTCACTTGCTTAAGATTGTCATTATAATTATCATATGACTTACCCTTTTGCTCGTGAACTGGAAAAACCGTCACAGAGAGAAGTTGTAAAGAACGAAATAACTACCAGGCGTTTTATGCCTGATTATCCATTGCTCGGCTCCCCTGCATGCTTCGCAGGGTGCCAAACATTACATTACTTACCTTGAGTTGCATGTACAAACGGGATAGGACATGTTATTTGGCTGAGATGAAGCATACCTTAGCGGCAATGATAGCAATTAAGCGTTGCCAAAGTGCGGAACAATATCATTACAGCTGTTTATACATTCAACAAGAGATGCCGGGCATCTGCAAAGCAGCCCTTACTGCTACATGGGATAAATGAACGGTCCCTAGGCCTGTGACATAATTGACCGAAATAAGGCCAGCACACGCCGTCACCAACATTCCAATAAGCTGTCATGGCTGGTTCCGAGGTCGAAAACGCGCGATGTTTTCTCAAATACTACCAAACAGGGCAGATAGTAAAGGACTTCCCTGACGCTCACCGAGGGGAGATGAAGCGGACAGATGTGAGAGTGGGACTTTTTGGTCTAACAGGTTCAGGAAAGAGCTCCTTCGTAAACACAGTGTCGAGGTGTGTTGAGGGGAAGGACATGGAGTTGGCGATGGTGCAGAGTAGCGGCGCAGAAGGTCAGTATGACATAGCTATAGCCCTAGACAACTACCTTTTATCATGTAGATTTTAGTTATTTTATACTACGTTTCATTGTTCTTTTATGTTTGTAATCTGCAATTAGCCCCCCGGGCATTAATTTGCAATAAACTTCAATTATCAGTATGTATTTTGAATAAGAAATGTGATTAAATAACATTAAGAAATGCATTAATAACATTAAGAAAACTACATTCGGCAAGAGATTTCTACTCAGAAATATCATAAGTCATAACCATGCTATTTTGAATCGATTCAAGGAACGGTCATCTTGGAGGAATTTGGCTTTGGAGGAGAAGGAACAGATAAACCTGGCTTCAGACTTTTAGACACCCGAGGGTTTGACATCTTGGGCGAGGATGCAAACAAGGAAATGCTGGCCATTTTGAATGGAGATATCAGAGATGGTCAATTCATAGATAGAGGTAAGAGGTACAAGCTGATAATGCATGTATATTGATTAAAGAGTAATTTTCTATGACTGACAAAGTACCCCGAACTTCTATGACTATGGGCACAGCCAACTGCTCATACAAAATTATTGTGACAGTCTCTCCTGATAATTTTAACGTAACAAATTGGTATCAAAGCTGACTGTAAATGCATGAGCATGTATTATAATATAATAATATGACTCTGTAAAATAAACCTAGCCTGCCTATGCACAGAGGATTTCCTCAGTTATCTTTCAGTTATGACTAAGAATAAAACCCTTCGGAAGTCTTTTTCCTTGTATTTCAAACCTACAAGAAAACAAAAACATTGTATATGCTACAGACTTCAAAGTCTAGCTACATGTGTGAATCCTACATATCATATAAGCTTGAAGTTACAACTTGGAGATTTGTTCAATTTCCCTTCGGTAATAACAAATCCATTTCATTATCTGTTTGATAGGGAAATCAATAAAGACCTCCATGTTAGGCCATGACTACCAGTTGAGCCGGGAGATACATGTGGTACTGTGGTTTGTAAAAGGGACTGATCCACGCCTGGAGAGTGGAACCTACCAGAGCCACATGCAGTTTCTAAGAATGCAGCTCCTGAATCGAGGTAAAATATTGTTCTCATTTTGTGAAGCTTTTGTCTTCTTGCAGTCGAAAAAAGCATACTGAATGATGATATTTTTCCCCATTATGACTGACTTGGGTATGTAAATGCAATAACGTGTGAATGAATAGATCCGATATGATTATAAAATAACTATGTATACGTGATTAAAAATAAAAATTGCACAACAAACCATTGTTAAAGCACAAAGAAGTAGTACAAATATTACCGGTAGGGTCAAGCATCCATGGGACATACATAAGTCACGGGAATATATGTCATTGTCAGTTAACCTATTGGAAATATATATATATTATTTCTTCCATAAGCTGGGTATAAAATTTGACCAGATATACGCTGACCTTTTCATGTGTTGCAGCTATGAAGACATTGACAATCATCACCCATGATGATGAACTTCAGAGAAAGGGCTGTACAGAACAACAACGACAGGACATTGTTGAACTTGCCAGACAGATAACGGGAAGTGATCGAGACCAGACCTACTTTGTAACAAATTACATGATGGAGAAACCTTTCCCAACTGAGAGGGTACAACAGGTTCTAGATATAGTTAAGATAGCTCTCAATGCAGCAGAGCATACCATTAGAATGAGACAAAGTAAAAGGAAACAACATAACCGAATGGTGAACTTGTCAAATTAATTGTGCTGTCGGTGCAGTAATAGATCACGAGCTATCAGCACAGAGTAGAAAGAGTGTTAATGTGCATTGTATGCATTATACTTTTCAAGGCTAATGTTTTCATGTATGCAAAATAATTCAGGACAAAAGTAACCGTTTATACCCTACTTACTAAAATGCGTCAGCAGGAGAAATATTTTTGCTTTTGTTGGAAAATGTCGCTTATTTTTAAGCTAGGCCTTTATTGCACAATGTCAATGGAAATTAATAAGCAAACGGGTCTACTATGACTACAAAGCGAAAAAAAGTATTTGTATTGGCCACCTGCTTTTTGTTTAATTTGTCATTTTCAACTTTTCACCTTTGATCATTATACATTCAACTTGCACCAGGACTGAAAAAGAACAATTCATGATTTAACTTTCACCAGCATATGTTGACTTTATCAACCTCTGAAAAAATGTCGGCCTTTTTTGTATGCCAAACGTGTGAAAAGAGTAAAAGTCTGGGGCTCTGTCAAATATACATCGAGACTAAATCTCATAATCATCTTATAATTATTTGGGTTTAATTATACTAGCCTGATACTCAGGAGCCCAAATGATAATCAAGTCAGAACCAATTTCTTCCTTAATACTAGTGTTCAGCGAAATCGGCTATCCTACTCACTTCTAAATTTATCTCATTTGACTTTTTAAAATCTTTTATATTTGTCTACTACTGACTGATTGTAAAGGTTTTGTTCTTTGATTTTATTTGACTGTATTGTATTTCAGAATAGTGTTGAATTAATTGTAACACTAACTGAGATCCAAATAAAGCAAACAAACAAACTATTCGGCTGCGATATCCGAATTTTAAAAAATGTCTAACGCGGTCCGGAGGCTCGATCGACCATTGTCATTGAGGATGGCTTTCGGCTGTAAATATCAGCAGAATGCCAGCCAACCATTCGGGAGTAAGTCAGCAGTATTAAGGGTGTGTTCAGGGGTCAAAGTTGACTCAGATTTGACTAAAATTCACGTTTCAACTTGCATCGAAAGGTAGGATCGGACAAAATCTAGTCAGAGTGCTCCCCAACGTCAACCAACGCCTATTCCTGTCCTCAATACTGTATCTTTAAAACAGATTTTCCTTGAACATCAATGCGAATCTTGATGTACATTACATTGTACATTCCGGGCTCCAGTGTCATATAGAAAAGTAAAAAAGAATGCTACACACATAGGTAATAAAAAGAAATTAAATGAAGCAGAAATTTCCAATTCAATTTACATTGCATCATGTTGTTAAATACCTAATGTTCAAAGGAGCTCAAAATGTACATTGTGGTTTTCTTAACCAGCGTTATCATGAGGTATTGAACAACTGTTCATAACCTGTCAAGGTGACCAAATAACCTGTCAAGGAGATCAAAGCTAGCTACACTTACCTGCTTACTAAAGAGTCTAACTGAACTGATAACTATCTTTACATTCAATTTGCATCATGTTGTTTAAAGAATCTGCCACGCATGCATGTGACGCAAAGAGACAAGTTTATTTTAAGGTAAACTATTATATGAAGTGTTTTTCTTCACCACCCTTATCATGAAATATTGTACAGCAGCTGCTGTTGGCCAGGGAGATCAAAGCTACTCAGACGCACCTGTTTGCCAAAGAGTCTAAAAGAACTGATAACTATCTTTGTACGAACTTTTTACCTTTGGTATCCATGCACCTCACCAGATTATGTAGTATTAAAGGGAATGCGAATTCAAAAAGGCCTAGTGGGTCACCACGCTTTTTCCACACTTGTCCAAATGTTGCATTTTCATATGATTACAAAAGTCAATGACCAGCCATTTATATACCTTGACATGCGTTATGGAATGCCGTTGTTTGGACAAAAACATGAAAACGTACTGCTAAACCTGTCATGGAAACCTTTCACAGACTGAGCAAATCGTCTTACACTATATATATATTACACTATATATATTGTCATTCATGACAAGTTATCTTGAGTGAGCATGGGACTGGGTTTTTTTTTTGTGACACCATGTAAAATACGCCATTGGCAGATTAAAAACGCCACGGGCTACCTGGAAACCCTAATATGTTGCTACTAGTATTTGAGTTTTGGCAACAACAGTTTTAGGCAACAGGAGGCAGTCAAACCACTTAGCGAGCTAAGTTCAGCCAGGTCGCCCCACCGGCATAAGTGGACATTCCACAGTCGACGTTCCACAAACAAACATGAAGAATGTGCACGTTATCGCGACTGAATACAAACAGCTCATGGTGTAACTTGTGTGCTCATGTACTGTGTGCATAGCATGTATCAGTTATAGATCTGTGAGAAAATATCGGTCTTTTTGTGTGTATGAGAGTGAAGTTCTCACTCACTAAGTCACTCACTCTATGAAGTTCTGGGGGTCTGTAAAAGATACACCCGTAAGAAATTCCAGGTCATTCGGGTTTAATACTAGGCTCAGGACCTCAAGATGTACATTGTGTTTTTCTTAACCACGGTTATCATGGGGTATTGAACAACTGTTCATAACCTGTCAAGGTGACCAAATAACCTGTCAAGGAGATCAAAGCTACTCAGACTTACCTGCTTACTAAAGAGTCTGACTGAACTGATAACTATCTTTGTACGAACTTTTTACCTTTGGTATCCATGCACCTCACCAGATTATGTAGGAATGAATGGAATGTGTATTGATAAAGGTCATGGTGGTGGTGTGGCGTGACTGTGGAGCATCCGGCTTAGAACTAAGAGACCCAGGTTCGAGTCCTGCCATGTCCCCAATTTTGTGCCCTTGCACTTCACGCGACTTTCCTCACTTCACTGAGGTAAAAATGAGCGTGCCAGAATGATCATTATCATGATCCTGAGCATTAAAGGAAGAAAAAAGAATAAGAAGAGGACTTATCTAGCGGCATTTTTGTGCATGCCAGAAGTGTGATTGAAGTGGGCATATGTCAACCCCATACCAAGGTGTTTAGGCGCACTCCATGCCAAATTTTAGGCCATTTAGCCCAAGAGCGGCCACGATGAATCTGTTCGAACATTTGGCAGAGGGATCAGGAACAGGAGAAGAGAAAACATGTACATGTATTTCATCGAAACCATGCTATAAAGTGGAATGTACTAAACCATTTCCCAGGATAAATAGGATAATTCCTGCGCACACGAGCTTGGTAAAATGATTCTAAAATAAGAAGTGACTTAAAGCCCAGGCCACATCGACCGAAGCTGGCTTAACGTGCACTGGAAGTGGAACAATAACAGAAAAAATCCTCTCCTTTATACAGTAGAGGGCCGGGGATTCAATCCTCAAGCTAACCGACATCATGCACACGCAGTCGTCCCTCAGTAAGACACTTGGAGCCGCATAGTTCCCGTTTAGAAATTTTATTCAGCCTGTCACATGCATGACCGGTTTCGCCTGTGTGGCTTCTTCTTAGTCATGCTTCATGTCCTCAATGCAAATGACCTCTACATTAACATAATATATACATACCAAAAATGATGAAAATACGTTGTTTCTATCTACACTTATTGGCATTTAAAGATTTCGCCAGAAAGTCCCCTGCTGTTCCAGAACAAGCTGCTAGGGAGACCAACCCCACACCACTTATTCCTGACAGGAAAGCTATCTGTCACCAAAATCAATATCATAGTATGTTCAGGACAACAAGTACAAAAACCGGAAGTTCTGCTGCAGTACCAAGGTCATCCACCAGGAGGCCCATATTTGACCTTGACCTTTGTCTTCCTAAGACTTACCAGCATACCAAATACCATCACAATCCATAAAGGCGTTCTGAAGTTATGCTGACCACAAAGTTGCGGAAACACACAGAGACACACGGACAGACACGTTAAAAACATTACCTCCATTTTACATGGAGGTAATAAGAGGCAGAAACGCCTTGGTGACCCGCACGGTACCGAAGGTGTTCACTTCCATCACATGTCGGTAGGCGGCGATGCTGACCCACTCTATTTCTCCCGGCTGCCAGACAACAGCATTGTTTACCAGTGCATAAAGACCTGTTGGAACAAAAGGATAACATTTCTAAACACCGTCGTTTCGTGTCATATTTCCAGAAGACAACGTCAAAAGATAACGTCTTTATGTTTATATTGTTTTATGTACAAATTGACGAAATGTCATGCGTGTGATCACCTTCAGACTCTGTAGGTAGACTGTTTTCGACCTGTCTGACAGCGGCCTTCACCTGTCCATCATCAGTCACGTCTATCTGAATATATATAATAGTATTCAGCCTGCTCGAGCACTCCGCCCGGATTTTCTTCGACCCCTCCCCACCACTGTCTGCCAGCAGACAGCCGGCAAACACCGTGAACCCCAGCGAGTCCAGGCGTTTGGCAAGCCCAAATCCAAAGCCACTGTCACACGTTAGAGAGTCAAACATTCAAGCAGGTCTATGGTATGGTTCATTGCTTACGAGCTAAATTCCAAGAAAGGATTTGAAAAGGTGATGAAGGGCGTAGATATGCTACTGACTGCAGGTGTTTGAAACAAAGTCCTACCTGTAATGAAGACAGCTTTGCCGTTCCCGTTCACTCGGCTCTTCGGCGCCCAGTACAGAACCACCCCGTACCCCACTGAACCCAGCAGTATCCCGTGCACAGGTAGTACAGGACAGGCAATCTCCAAGCAGATCTTTCGGTGGCAAGACAGTATCCATTGGCCAGAGGAGTGTCTATTAGCCACCGAAGTTGGGAAATGGATACAGGATCGCCAATGGATACAGGATGGCCAATGGATACGGTCTTTTGCCACCCAACCGAAAGATCTGCTTGGAGATTACAGGACAGGTGCACGGTGGTACAACAACAACAACAACAAGCCCGAAATGGTGGAAAGACCAGCCAACTTTGCACAGTACAACAACTGTAGTGGCCTCAACTTTAAACTTCCCCCGATCCATATATAGTAACGTTTAGGGCTCGTTTGACTTCTTCAGCTACCATGTACCAACGCCAGAAGACCTTGAGTTGTAACGGTGACGCGCTATCGCCAACCTCAACCTCCGACGGGCTATTTGATTTTCTGCTGCTGAATCTTCTGAGAATCTGCTGAAAATCCTGATCAAACTGAACCATCCGCCTCTACAAGTTTCACGGTTACGAAGATAAGTGCCTACTGACGGACTGCAGAAACTTTTTGTCGTGTTTTGTTTGTTTTTAACGTGATTTGAGAAGGGGAAAAATCGTCCACCATGCCAAGATGCGAGGACTGTCGGGGTGTGGGTGGACAGAACTGTCAGGGTGATTTGATACTGTGTCGGAGGTGTGTAGACCGTAGGCGCCTTCCCTCTGCCAACAAGGAACCTGCGACCTTCACTAAACCAAAGGATGTAGCTGAAAGTTCCCCCAACCCGATCCAAGGTAGCTGTCACCAGGAGGTAAACAGTGCTACCGTCCCCGCCATTGAAGATGAGGTTGGAAGGAATGTCAGCGGTGAGTGTGGCGACAGGCGCCACGGTGAGAACGATCAAATTGAATGTGAACGATGTCAAAAGTGGATGTGTGCACCATGTATGAAGATGCCTAAAGCAATGCTTAATGCGCTCATTAAGTACCGATCTCTACACTGGTATTGTCCTACCTGCGAGCCATTAGCTGTCGATGGAGCACGATCCGAAGCTGGTAATTGCACAAGTGATGAAGTGAGAGAGAAACGTTACGATGAAGTGATGATAGCATCAATTGCAGAAAAGACAGCTACAGCCATAGCCGTCAGCATCGAAAGCAAAGTGAAAGACTTAAAGTTGACTAGTGCCAGTAACAGCTTGCCAGGCCCAGGGTCCGGGGCAAAGGCAATCTTATGCAGACGTCACGAGGAATCTCAGCCGCTTCACAGGTACCATCAACAAGATTGTAGCAGGTACTTCTAACCCTCAGTCGTCCTCGTGCACTCCTCAAGATTCCAGGGAGGTGGTCCAGTTGGTGGACGAGTACATTGAGCGGGAGAAGAGGCGCAAGAACCTCGTAGTTTTCAACGTGCCAGAGGACGTGAAGGACGATGCGACTGACAGCATGTTGAGTGATAAGAAACTCTTTATAGACATCACCAAAGAGGAGTTTAACCTCATCCCTAAGGTACAAGCAGCCTACAGATTGGGACGAAAGACCTCTGACAAGCCAAGACCGCTCTTGATCAGAATGGACAATGACGACACTTCTAGCCGCGCTCTGATCCTCAGAAGAGCGAAAGACTTAAGAAACAGTACCCGCTGGAGTAGAGTGTACATCGTGCCCGATATGACACCAAATGAGAGGGAAGCGGACAGAAAGCTGCGACAGGAGCTCAAATCAAGAAAAGAAGCGGGAGAGGCAAACCTGGTCATCAGGCGTGGGCGTATTGTGTGCACGCAGACACCTCGCGAACCCCAGCCGCGGGACGGCCGTGATGACCATTCCCAAGCCTGACTTGATACGCACAACCATCCATCATGTAGAAACAGGAAAGAGAATGGCAAATTGAACATTATGTACACAAATATAGACCAACTACCAAACAAGAGGGATGATCTCATGTTAGCCATAACAACAGAAGAGCCTGATGTGATCATACTTACGGAAGCAATCCCTAAGGCTCAGAGACTACCTCTTGGGGCAGCCAGAATCACCATCCCAGGATTTACAGCGCACACGAACTTCAACCCTGACCAGGAAAACCTTGGGGCACTGGGTAAACGAGGGATAGTGATCTACACAGCAGACCACATTGACGCGACAGAAGTCTCCTACAATGATATTGAGTTCCAGGAACATTTGTGGGTACAAGTACGTTTGCATAGGCAAGATAAGCTGATTATAGGAGGCATCTACCGAAGCCCATCCTCTGACCTAAGGTTGTCAACCGAACACTTGGCAAACCTTCTACAAGTAGTTGTGGGGACCAGACCTACACACCTCTTGATAGCTGGAGATTTCAACTACCCTGAAATTGACTGGAAGCAAACAGCCTCATGTGCAAACGACGCTCACCCTTCACACCCATTCCTCCGCTGCGTGCACGAGAACCTCCTGTACCAGCATGTCTTCAAGCCAACTAGATACAGACCTGGAGAGTTATCGAACATCCTCGATCTTGTCTTAACCAATGAAGACGGAATGGTGGAAAATATTGAATACTTACCAGGCATTGGACAGAGTGATCATATCCGGCTGCAGTTCAAAGTCAAGGTTTATGCTGAGAGAAATGGCAACACAAAACCTAGGCCCAATCTATACCGAGGTGACTATGCCAGCATGGCCGCAGACTTGTCCGGTATTAATTGGGACACCAGGCTGAAAAACAAGTCCTTCGACGAGGCGTACAGTGACTTCATTGATGTTCTGCAAGCCAGTATTGACTCACACGTTCCCCTGTCGAATGAGAAGACATCCAAGAAGAACTTGTATACGACCCAAGAAGTTAAGAGACTCAGTAAGAAGAAGCGGGCAAATTGGGACCATTACACTATCACTGGCGATGAGGTGGATTATGCCTGGTATACCGCTACTCGAAATGACCTCAGAAAGCTCAGGAGACTCCGATATGAGTTTGAGTCCAACCTTGCTCGGGACATAAAGCAGAACCCAAAGTCATTTTGGAAATACGTTAACTCTCGGCTAAAGACGAAAACTACAATCGGAGACCTGAAGATGGCGGACGGCACCATGACGAGTAGCAAGAAAGAGAAAGCAGACACCTTGAACCAGTACTTCTGTAGTGTGTTCACTGAGGAAGATACAGAACACATGCCTGAAATGGAAACCAAGTACTTTGGACCCCCGCTGGAAGACATCCTGATTACGCCTAGAAATTATACTTAGAAAAAAACGAAAAAGCTTACGAAGGGGAAGTCACCTGGACCAGACGCGTTGCACCCCAAGATTCTTACTGAGGTCGCGGAAGCCGTAGCCAAGCCGCTCGCGATCATCTTCCGCAAGTCGCTAGATGAGGGCCACCTGGCAGAACAATGGAAAATTGCCCATATAACTGCCATACACAAGAAGGGACCGAAACCGAAACCTGGAAACTAACCGTCCCATTAGTCTTACGTCTGTCATTGTGAAACTCCTCGAATCTGTTCTTAAGGACGCGCTTGTGGACCACATGATGCTGAACGATCTCTTCTGCGACCAGCAGCATTGCTTTGTGCCCGGTAGATCATGTACAACACAGCTAATTACCACATTAGACCTGTGGACCCAAGCAGTAGAGGCCGGGGAACCCCTAGATGCCATATACCTGGATTTTAGAAAGGCGTTCGATTCGGTGCCCCATGCACGCCTGATGCACAAACTGAGCCAGTACGGTATCGACGGTAAGTTACACGGCTGGATCCAGGCATTCTTAACGGACAGAAAACAGCGAGTATGCATTGATGGTGAAATGTCAGACTGGGCCAAGGTAACAAGTGGAATTCCCCAGGGATCAGTACTTGGACCGTTTCTTTTCGTTGTCTTTATCAACGACATGCCCGGGACTATTAGCAGTGCCTGTCACCTCTTTGCGGATGATGCCAAGGTGTTTCGCCGTGTAAATTCTCCAGCCGAAGTTGCCACCCTGCAAGCAGACATTAACAACCTGGCAGCTTGGTCCAAAGACTGGCAGCTCAGCTTTAACATCGAAAAGTGTAAACGCATGCATATTGGGCATGGTAATCCTTGCCAAGAATATGAAATCCAAGGCTCCACGTTGGAAGAAACCAGCGAGGAGCGGGACCTGGGAGTAATCGTTGACAGGAAACTGAAATTCCATGCGCATTGCACCGCCGCTGCTAACAAGGCATTCAGAATTCTGGGACTCGTCAAGAAGAGCTTTCAACTTGACAAGACAACCGTACCCCTGTTGTACAAAACTATGGTTCGGCCCATTATAGAGTATGGTAATGTGATATGGGGTCCATACTCTATAGGTGACCAGGAGCTACTGAATAGAGTACAGCACAAGGCGACGCGACTTGTACTTGGGTTCAGAGAAATCAGCTACGAGGACAGATTACGTCGTCTGCAACTTCCTACTCTTGAGCACCGCCGCAAAAGAGGTGACGTGATACAAGTCTTCAAGTTCGTCAAGGGTTTCGACCGTGTCGATCCAGGCCGGATGTTCAACTTAAACGTAGATGGACGTACCAGAGGCCATCCATACAAAATCGCCAAACCACAAGCAAAGAAGTTAACTAGATCAAACTCTTTTAGTGTACGAGCAATAAATGCTTGGAATAGCCTTCCCGCAGATGTTGTGGCAGCAGACACTGTTAACTCTTTTAAGTCAAGACTAGACAGTTACTGGAGGGGGACGGAATACACATAATTTCATATTACAACTTCTGAACATTACAACTTTGAACTCTGGACATTACAACTCTGAATTTTGAACATTACAAACTCTGATATTTTGGATATTACAAACTACTGAACTCTGGACATTACAACTTGATCATAACAAACTCTCATTACAAGTACAACTCTAACATTGTAAATCTGAACGTTTAATGTTAGAAACTACTGAACTCTGGACATTTACTTGATCATAACAAACTCTGAACTCTGGACATTACAAGTACAACTCTAACATTGTAAATCTTAACGTTTAATGTTAGAAACTACTGAACTCTGGACATTTACTTGATCATAACAAACTCTGAACTCTGGACATTATTTGATCATAACAAACTCTGAACTCTGGACATTACAAGTACAACTCTAACATTGTAAATCTGAACTTTTAATGTTAGAAACTACTGAACTCTGGACATTACAACTTGATCATAACAAACTCTGAAGTCTGGACATTACAAGTACAACTCTAACATTGTAAATCTGAACTTTTAATGTTAGAAACTACTGAACTCTGGACATTTACTTGATCATAACAAACTCTGAACTCTGGACATTATTTGATCATAACAAACTCTGAACTCTGGACATTACAAGTACAACTCTAACATTGTAAATCTGAACTTTTAATGTTAGAAACTACTGAACTCTGGACATTACAACTTGATCATAACAACTCTGAACTCTGGACATTATAAGTACAACTCTAACATTGTAAATCTGAACGTTTAAGTAACTATCGCCAAATTACATGTATTAGCGAGGACAATGTATATTTATATTTTTGTAATTTATCTATTGTAATGTTATAGTTTTAAGGTTTCAGATATGGATCACACAGGCAGTTGCCTTTTTATCCATTAAAAATGTATGTATGTATGTATGTATGTATTTTCGGGATTTCCGAGCGCCATATTTTAACCAATCACCGAGCAAACCTGGCTACGCATATTACGCAAGATCACTGATTTTTATATTCTTCGACGACTAGGAATAAGATGAAAAATCGTGCTTTAGGGATTTTTGAATTTCTGACTCTAAGCATAGATTTTGTCGACAAATAGATGAAAAAACCGATTTTTTTTTTTTTTGCTTTTTTCGCACTCAATTACCCATAATTCAAAATCGAGAGCATTTTTCAAAAATCCCTAAAGCACGATTTTCGGGACAATCGTGACAGTCATTTTGAGCCGTAAATGGAGTATGTTTGACTTTCTATGCTCCCAGGTTGGCACGAGTTTTGCAGACATGCCATATCGGCCGAAAGTGTGTTATTCATACAGGCGTAAAGAATCATTACAGTATTCAAGGTCACCCAAGGATACGACAGTAGCTTCGCTAAATGTTACATGTCCACAAAAAATGATAGCGGACATGTACTGTCCAGGAAACTGTTTGTATCTATAGAAAAGTATTGTTTTTTATCTGTTGCGCGGCACTCAGGCAGAATGGCTTGTTTTGCCGCTTTAGGCCATGTTGATTTGATTATATGGATGACATCCGCGCGCGCATGGATTTTCGGCCGTTTCCAAAAAAAAAAAGTTTTCAACCATACTGTAAATCGTACAAAACAGTTGCAAAATGAGCAAAAATATACCGTAAGTTAAAAAAATTAATAGATAAAAACTATACCAATGTCGTAGAATGCCAAAATCAAACGAAAAAATACGAAATTGTAAAGAAATGAACTTGAAAACTAGATTATTCGCCAAACCATATTCTGTCCCATTTGTTCAACCCTCATGACCACGTAGATTTCATAATGAAAACAACTTTTTTTTTTTGCAAAACTTTTATTTTATTCGCACGCGCGCATCAGTTTTGGGGCTCCCGGAGGATGTCATCCATATAATCAAATCAACATGGCCTTATTGTAAATGACCGCAGGTGACCCCGAAATGGAACGCGGGTTCGATTCGAATTGCCCAGATCGAACACGATCGAACACAGTTCGGGTTCTATGAAATGTGGGAACTTTGCAGCCCAGATTTGACCACCGTGTGTCTTCAGTTAACCATGATGTATTAGAAAAACTATGTAAATTCGTATACAAATGTTTAAAGAAGAGAGAAGAAACATGTACAGCTTATATATAGATAGAACATAGCACAGCATGAATATGCAATAATAAACTTCATTGTCATTAATATTAATATAACGAAAGTAATAAAGAGTGATAAACCTTTAGGCTCAGACTACACCTCTCGCCCAGGTACGTCGGCCAAGCGCCTAAAGTCGGGCCGCCGGCGCCACCTGTAGCCGTGGCGGGCCCGACACACAATCTCATGTGCCTGTTGCTAGTGATGACGTCACCAGGGCCAGACAACTCCGGACGGGACAAACCCCCGATTTCGGCGAATTTCGGGCGGATAACGGCCGGGCCATGAGGTCATTGACGCCCGTAAGGGAACAAAAAACCCCAAAAGTGACTCCATTGGAAATGCATTACGCCAGTCCCTTTTGAAATCAATATTAATACTAGAGTTCCACAATCACATTCACAAATGTAGAATTTTGAATGATATCATATTTTCATTTATCATGAAAACAAGATTTGAAGATCCCCATTTGCATGAATCATATCAGCTGATCATGTTATTCACCTTATGACAGGCTTGTCTATGAAAAATAGTAGAAAAAAAATCTAGAATTTCTTCATAAATTATGTAAATGAGGTCCTGATTTGAATATGTTATTTTTAGTGATGTCCGCCTTCACTTAACTTAAAAATGTCACAAGTATGGGATTCCTGCAGTTACTATGAAATTCATCATCATCATCGGCAGTAGCTCGTTACCGAGCATAATTGTTCATGTCATATTCGTGGGCCCTCAATCGTTGGGGTGTCTATGACGTGTGTGGCTACTTAAACCTAGCCTGGTATGGAAGAGTTTGTGGCATTTTCTGCATGGCAGGGTAGGAGGTGGGCACGGGCGGAGAAGACGCTCCTTGCGTTGCTGTCTTTTGGCCTCAGCTTCAGCCCGGCGTTGATCCTCCATGTGAGCCGTCCCCTGCATCACAGTGCGTCGCCACTTGGCTCTGTCTTCTGCCAGGTGCTCCCAGCTGTCCTGGTCTATGGCGCAACGAAGGAGTGTGTCCTTCAGTTGGTCCCGGAAGCGCCGCCGAGGAGCACCTCTAGGTCTTGTGCCAGATTCAAGTTGGGAGAACAAGATCTGGCGGGGGAGTCTGGTTTCAGGCATTCTGCTGACGTGTCCTACCCAGCGAAGCCGGTGTCCTGCCACAGTGGTCTCAATACTGGGGAGGTTAGCTCGAAGAAGAACAGCCTCGTTGGAGACACGGTCTTGTCGTTTGATCTTCATGATCGCACGGAGTTTCTGCTGTTGGAACGACTCCAGTCTTTTTATGTCTCTCCTGTACAGGACCCATAGCTCAGAGCCATAGAGAAGAGTAGAGAGAACAATGGCTCTGAACACCGAGATTTTGGTCTGGAGGTTCAGGTCGTGATTCAGGAAGACACGTTTAGAGATTCTCCCGAAAGCAGTATGTGCGGCGCGAATCCTGTTATCAATATCTTTCCGCATAGAGCTATCACAAGAAAGATAGCTTCCGAGGTAAGGGAAGGCCTCCACAGTCTCAAGAACCTCGCCATGGAGTCGCACGGTACTGGTGTCAGGGGGATGGTCGCCCGGAGCTCCCTGTGCTAGAATCTTGGTCTTGCCTGTATTGGAGGTAAGACCAAAGTGGGAGTAGGCACCATCAAAGGCGTCAACAGTTGTCTGGAGATCTACAACTGTGTCTACAGGGGTCGCGTTGTCATCAGCGTACTGTAGCTCCCGTACTGTGACCGGGGTGGTACGTCGTTTGGCGCGGAGCCGTCCTCCATCCAATCGGCAGCGGAGTTGGATGCCGGGGGTCGTGTCAGGGAGCTCGTGTATCATTGCCCCAAGGTACAGTGAGAACAGAAGAACAGAGTGGGGGCAAGAACACAGCCCTGCTTTAGACCGGTGGTGATGGGGAAGGGGTCAGAGATACTGTTCTTGAACACGACGCGACCCTTCATACCATCATGAAGGGCCTGGATAAGGTCCGTGAAGTGGTCGGGACAGCCAAAACGCCTCAGCGTTGCCCACATGGCTGGTCTTGGGACACTGTCAAAAGCCTTCTCCAAATCCCAGAAGACAAAGAGGAGAGGCCGCCGCTGTTCACGGGATTTCTCCTGGAGTAGGCGAGCACAGAAAATCATGTCGGTAGTGCCACGAGATGGCCGGAAACCACATTGTGACTCTGGAAGGACTTCCTCAGCGACAATGAGGAGCCTGTCAAGCAGGATGCGTGCAAATATCTTCCCAGCGATGCTAAGGAGGGATATGCCGCGGTAGTTTCCACATACTGAGCGGTCGCCCTTCTTAAAGATAGTGATAATGGTGGCGTCCTTCAGGTCTGCGGGTACAGCTTTCGTCTCCCAGATACGGAGTATCATTGAGAAAAGCTTGGTCTTCACAGCTAAGCCCCCATGGGAGATAAGCTCGAAGGGGATGTTGTCGGGCCCAGGGGACTTCCATGCCTTCATGCTCTGTATGGCCTTCTGAAACTCCATGTAGGATGGGGGAAGTGACATCCAGTGCCTAGCAGGGAGTTGAGGTACCCGACGGAGCAGATCATCCGCTGCGGTAGACGGACGATTCAGAAGCATCTGAAAGTGTTCCTTCCACCTTGTGAGGATGGCCTGATCATCCGTCAGGGTGGCTGTCCCATCAGCGGCCTGAAGGGTGTTAGTGCCTCCACGGCGAGGACCATAGATTTCCTTGGTTGCAGCGTAGAAGCGCCGAAGGTCTCTGTTATCGGCGTAAGACTGAATCTCTTCTGTTTTTTGTTGCCACCAGAGATTCTGCATTTCTCGTACCCTTCGCTGACACTCTTGCTTTGCCTCCTGAAAGCGTCGCAAGCTGGCGCGAGTAGGGCGGTTCTCCCGTGCGAGACGAGCAGATCTTTTCTTGTCGATCAGTTGCCTGATATCAGTGTCATTTTGATCAAACCAGTCTTGATGGGAACGGCTGGGGTAGCCAACTATGTCCTCTGCGGCCTTGTTGATGGAGCCACAGAGAATGGACCAATCCGCTTCTACCGAGTCCTGAGGTGCTGATGCAGGAGCCTCATTAAGAAGTTCCTCCCCTGACTGGCAGACTATGAAATTATAGCTTTATGAATTAAGTATGCAAATTATGCATTTGCATAACTACATTGTATCTGCCAATGTTCTTCTTCTTCTTCACAATTACACATGCCTCAATTTTTTAAATAATCATATCATGGAAGGTAGCAGATTTATAAAATTTCCTCATTAATCATGCTAATTAGCTGCTGATTTGCATAACTATTATTTTGATATGTCAAGCATTCTTTAAGCTACCCAAATACCAAAAATCATAATGATCCGTCAATCGGTTCTTGAGTTACCCTCCCTCGAGTATTTTTCAACTAATTCTTCTGCAGTTCCAGAACAAGCCACTAGGGGCCCAAACTCATGTCACTTCTTCTCGGATCCCCAGCCCAAGAGCTACATACTTACCATCCAAATTTAGTGACCCTACCATGTCCAGATCACGAGATACTGTGTAAGTCTATGAATTTCCGCGGTATATTTAGATTCGCGGAATTCGGGGGGATCTTTGTACCGCGAATCTATTTCCCCGCGGATATATTTTGCGTAAGTGTGCCCCCCCCCCCGTCCCCACATGCATTCACGACGGACCTCGAGTTCAAGCGAAACACAAACACACGCGATCCACAAATCACCGCAAATCAACTTTATTCGTAGCAATTGCAAATGTACGTAGTTGCGAACTGTATCAAAATTATTAAAGTTAAACTGTTATCAAAAATAATATTATGAGACACCGAATCTTATAAAAACCGGAAGTTCAGCTGCAGTACCATAACATGCCGTCAGGGGGTCTAAAATCTAATCAGTTCCTGGTCTCATCAAGACCTACCCACCTACCAAATATAAAGACAATCCATCTTAGCCTTCTTGTTCACACACACACAGACACACAAACGCCAACGAAAACATAACCTTCTTGGCGAAGGTAAAAATCCTAATCAAAATGCCTAAAACACGTCAATAATAGGTCGAAACGTGACCACCTGTTAGGAGATTAGGTTTGTTACTTTAGTACAACCTGTGTCCTGTCCAGTATAGTCTGAGCCACTACAGATAGGTGTCGCTGCTGCAGTATTACAAATGCAGTTCTAGATATAAGAGTGTTGTCACCCAATATATACACATGAACAAAAATGTATTTCAAACGTTCACGACAATTAACAAAGCAGTATTTGAATTCCACACCGTAAACTACGACATCGGTCGGTCGCCTAGAATAGTCTAAGTACATCGGAGCAGGTTAAGTTTTAGGTTAGGGTCTAAGAATAATAAATCTTACTGGTCAAAGTAATGATCTACTTGCTGTTGTAGACAAATCTACATCAGTACTCCGTGTCATATCCAGTATAGTCTGCGTCAGCCGAACGGCGCTTTCCACGTGCTGACGGGTGAAATATCTGCTTGGTGAGTAGGTTACTTTGTTAGTTTAATACGTCCTCCGTCCTGTCCAGTATAGACTGAGCCAGGCGAACGGCGGTTTCCGCGTGCTGACGGGTGAAACATCTGCTTGGTGAGTAGGTTACTTTGTTAGTTTAATACGTCCTCCGTCCTGTCCAGTATAGAGTGAGCCAGGCGGACGGCGCTTTCCACGTGCTGACGGGTGAAATATCTGCTTGGTGAGTAGGTTAGTTTGTTAGTTTGATACGTCCTCCGTCTTGTCCAGTATAGACTGCGCCAGGCGGACGGCGCTTTCCGCGTGCTGACGGGTGAACGCGTCGTGAGGAACTCTCGGTGCTGGGTGGAGGTTGGGGTAGCGGGCCCTCAGGTACACGTCATCACACCCAGGGTACGAGCCGAGGGACGACAGCTCCATGGCGGCATCGCCGAGTCCCGCCAGTTTCCCCCCGCAGCTGGCCTCTAGTGCCCTCCCCATGTCGCCTATGCGGTGGATCATGTCGTACCTGCCGAACGTCGGTCACGGTTAGACATCAAGGTAATAAGATATGCCAAAAACCAGTTCAGCTGCAGAACTGTTACGTTCAAGAAGAGTTTTACCTTTAATTATTGAGTTGATGAATTTTAATGTGTCTCATGCCCCAATTCAGCCATGTAAGGCTGCAATTGTGTTAGTTGTAAATACACCAGTCTACATACAGTTACTCAAGCAACTGGATATGGTTTTGGAAACGGTCAGCGGTACCTGCCGAAATTCCCCAGATGACGTACCTTTCGTAGCAGTATGGAATAGCCACGAGGCACAAACAGCAACCAAGAGGACGTTTATGCAGGAGTTGATAGGGCACGTAATATTATGTAGATAGTTGATGGCACATTGGGCATTAAGTTTTAAAATGTAAATGTATGCGTTAAGTTGTATGTATGTCCATAATGTTTCAATTTTGGTGTAGTTTGTATGATGTATGTCTACTAGTTACTCCAGGAAGACTAGCTAGTACATGCTTGTCTGTTTGTACTTGTATGGAGAAAATAAAGCACCTATAGCTAAAGCGCCTACCTGCCGAACTTTCCCAGTTGCACAGCTTTGAGAGCTTTCTCTGCCGCCTGGTGGCACATCAGACACGTCCACTCGTAGGAGGCGTCGGGGCCACTCAGGTTGCTCCTAGCGGCTCGTAGGTCTGCTGCAGCCTGGCGATGCCAGCGAGCCGCCTCCCGCGGGTTGGGGAAGCCGCCTCCGTCCGATCTAGGCGGGACCCACTGGCCCGAGCCGGTCCGCCAGCCGCTGAAGTCCCCGCCCCGGTACCGCTCGTGGAACTGCTCCCTCTGGTGGCGATGGTACCCGGCGTAGGCGTTCCACCTGGTGAAGGAACTACTGAAGCTGCTGCCTCCGAAATCAAAGTCGCCACCTCCAGACCCATCCCCTCCTTTCGTCCTCCTAGGAAGGCCCTTCTCAAGCCTGCTGATCTCGGCCAGGATATGTTTGGTCACCTCGGTAGCCAGCTCGACGTTGTCAGGGTTCTTATCCGGATGCCATTGGAGGTAGAGGCGTCTCACAACCTTCTTTCTCTCCTTTCCTGGCAGCTTCCATGCTTCCTCCAAGATGTTGCTGACCTCTTCCATCGCGTCTTCAAGGCTCTGAGGAGGTTTGGCTGCTGAAGCATCGTCTTTGCCTGTCTCCCCTTCGTACGGGACGAGCGGACCCGGTACATAGGGACGGCAAAACTTGTAGAGGTCCACCGCACTAACTGTTTTTTTGTATCCGACATCTATGACATACTCCCTGCCCATATTGAACTTGAGTTCAGTGTCTGTCGGCTCCTCTTTGATGACCTGTGCGTACAGGAACGTCATGGTGTACTCTTTCTCCTCCTCTTCTGAATCCGTCTCGAAGTCTGTATCGTAAACCTCAAACCCCACATAGTCGCCAGGCGTGAAGTAGTGGGCTGGGTTGCTCGTCAGGAGGTGGTGATAGATTTCCGGAATGGGAGTGCCGAGGGTAGGAAGGGGGGAGTCATCTTGCTCACCCGAAGTGTACCGCTTTATCTTTGCCCTGTCAAGTTTCTTGGGAATGTCAGATGGATCTTTGACACTCAAAACCATCCCGAGGTGCACAAGGTTTACGAGTGGACGCCCAAGACCATCGTTGATGACCTCCGTTAGCTCACACAGAAAAGACTCATGCTCTTCAGACGCTGCGTCTGTATGTGCCACGTATAGGGTGTTGTCTTTGATGAAACAGTAAGACGTGCCCTCGCTGTCTTCAATCCGATCCTGTGATTCCTTGTACACAAGGCAAGTGATTAGTTTTCGTTTACAGCAGACAGTAACGGACGACACAAACTTTTCTACTGCAGCGATGACCTTCTTGTCGTCGCATCTTTCGCCAAGGGCATGTTTCGATAGACGAACTATGGCATGTCGAAAGTACGTGCTCAAGAATAACGACGCTAGTCTTGACTCCAGTACGCAATTGGCGCCCATCGTGCAAGTCATTTGCTCGTCTTCGTCACAAAGTTGTTCTTGTACGAGGGAGCTAAGATTCTTGGGCCTGAGATGAGATGGTAGTCGATCGATCAGTTCGTGCTCATCAGCAAACAAGCGGCAGTTCTCCAAGCGAACCAGGATAGGGTAGTTGAAGCCGTCCTTGACTCTGTCTGTGAAATGTGGGGTATCGTCAAATACAAGTTCTGCAGATTTGAGCAGCCTGCTCTCGCGACTAGGGAGGTACAGACACTGTAATTTGTGAAAGGAATCCTCCACTTCTCGTGTTTTGTAGGGTTTTCCTTTTCCAAACTGAATGGATGACTCAGGCTTCAGGCAACGAAACAGTCCAAAAATGGCGCTGTAGGTTGCAGTTTTCTCGTTGGGGTTCAAGGGTTGGCCTCCAGATGAGACATACAGCGCTTCCAGAACCTTTGCGTATTGCATTGGCGTTGGTTTTTCTGTAGCCCCTAATGAGACAAAAAGCTTGTGGTATTGCCCAAGCTCTATGGGCATACCATATAGGTATGGCCGAATCTCGTGTTCTTGGTCGAGATTGATAGCAACTTGCTCTGGTCGAACAAGTCTTCTGCCCTCTTCAACCGCCATGCAGGGGACGTTCCCTAATTTCTTCTTCAACGAACCGCCCTCAGAGGCTTTCTTTGAAAGGAACTTGTAGACTTCCAGCATCACTTTCCAAAGAGCTTTGCAAGCTGAGGGCGAGTTTGCTCCCTCTTCCATCTCCGTGTTTTTTTGATGAGCCAAATGTTGGCAAAGGCAGGTGACGTGGTTTGTAACGGTGTCCATTGATGGCTGTACTTGGATGCCAAGTTGACGACACAAAGCCTTGGAATCTCCTTGGTACTGCAACTTTTGGATCACGCTGTTGGGCAGAAGATTCGCCCTTGTCCAGCAAAGTTCTTGTTTGTGCTCCGGCACAGAGTCCTTGAAGCATACAAAGGGCAAGACGTCGCCATTGGCTCCATGTTGACTATGCAGTTTCACCAGATCAGGACGTGCCTCTACAGGTGCAATGAACCGGATACCAGACACTTCTTTGATGAAACTTCCTTCCGACAAAGTCTTCGTGGTGAAGAAGTGCTCGACCAAAACGTTTGATTTCTCTGTCAAGCGACTCTCTTTGCTCCTGGTTACTCTGGCCAGGTTTTCTACTTTCCTTGCATACTGCAGGAACAATTCATTCTTTACCTTGTGAATAATCCCGATTTCGACGAAGAACTTTTTCCACATTCCCGTTCGATAGTATTCAGGAAGGAAGTTTTCGTCTGAGACCATTTCACGGAATACGGGATGGCCGTCGTCGTAGAAATCACTTACGGGCTTTCTGCCTCCTTCCGATGGGATGATTCGTAGATGTCGTAGGCTTGCCAACAAAGATTCACGCGTACGTGCATGCTTCTCCACTGTATCCATACTAATCAACATCTGTCTTAGGTACTCAAGGTGCTCCTTCACTGCCTCATCACTCAGGTGGTCCATGTTTGGGAAGATGTACTGTCGGTACACCTCGGCATCTGTGATTCTTGAACACCCCAAGGCCGTATGTAGCTTCTTGAGGCTGTGGTTTCCCTCCAAGAAGACAGCGCCTGACCGGTTTATCCACTCATCCATGTCGGCTGTTGGGATTCCCGCCGGTAACACGTGGCACTGTATTGTGGTGCGGAGGCTGATGAGTTTCTCGTGGATTGTTTTGTACAAGGGCAAGGATCGCAACATGTCCAAATTCGCTTCCTCAGTTTTGAGCTTGTCTACTTCTTCCTCAAAATACTTCAGCAGTTCCGTAGCGTCGTCAGCGTCTAAAGGTGTTGAAGTGGCGGCTCTTTGCGCATCGAAAAGGGAAGTCAAGACTCTTAGAATCCCTACGTGGTTTGTGAGAGATGAGACAAAACGTCTTGCCAACTGTGTAGGTTTGGCGTTGAATGGACGGTCCGGGGGTGCACGGAGACTATGTATGTTCAGCTCAAGGCAATGGAGCTTGCGCATAGCTTTCGCCACCTTGATCTGCTGTAAAGATGGGGCTCTAACATCAAACGTCACCACAGTGTGTGCCTCGCCCAGTGGGACCATGTACGTTTTCCCTGATTGCACCATAGGGATTCTATCGTAGGTTGAGAAGGTCGAGGCATCGTAACGTCCCATCGTCGGTGAATGTGTGCAAGCCGGCAAGACAGCCCAGTTTCCAAACAAAGTTTTGATCGTCGAAAGGTACGTGTCTTGGTCTGACTCCTTCTTTGGCATTTCATGATCGAGGAATTGCCAAAGACGATATATCCAGTATTGAGGGGGAGACTGGTTCCATTCAACAGTGTTCCCCTGTCTCAATTTACTCTCGTTCAGTTCAAGTGGCAGCAGGCTGGACAAAGCCTCGACATCGAAGGAAAGAACTGACTTATCAGTATATTGACGTTGTAGGTCCGAGAGGCACGACCGGTCTACAAACAAATGTGGCGCACTTGGGACGAGGTTCGCGAATTTTGTGGCAAACACGGGGTTAGAAAGATCAAAGACTCTCAGGATTTTGTCTGACGTCAGAAGCAAAGGAACGCCATGTAGTTTGTGTTCCTTGTTTTTGTCTATTGTAGATGACAAACAGTAATGAAGGGCCACTTGAACGTTCTCTGGTTCTTTGAAACTTGTGCTGGACAGCTGGGCAGGAAGCGACGCTCCAATACGACACAATGGGTCGTCGTCTGCGTACGTCTGAAGAAAGTTGACCACTGATTCCGGCTTGACTTCTTTGACGTCAACTTCAGCTTCCTGAAAAGCGTCAAGAATTTCGTTTGGACTGGCTAGCAGCTTAAACCCTAAAGCCAGGAGGGTCTCTTTCAGGACCTGTCTTCTGGGCTTTTTATCGCTCTCTGTGCTCCCAGCATCTCTGTACTCCAATGTGTTGAAAAATGCCTCATCTTTTCCAGCTCCTGTTGGAGGTAGCCATTCTAATGCCATATGATTGTGGCTGCTGTTTAATGGCTCGCCATCATTGGGTCTGCAATCATCTGCTGTAGACCGTAAAACTGGCAGAAGACGAAGATGTTCGCGTTCGATGTGCTGGTAGAAAGCTATCGACAGGTCGTTCCACTGATCAGCCGTTTTTGAGACGGACGGAAAGAGACTGTGATATGACTCCAGTGATTTGTAGACGTTCTGTGCCTTTGGCGCTGATGATTGTTTCTGTTCTTCGTCAAAGTCAGCTGCTCGTTTCGCATCGAGCACCGCAGCGTACGCCGGAGCGATGACTTCTTTGATCAGCGTCTTGTTCCAGTCCGACTTCATCCCGCCTTTCTCGTCTTTCCACAGGTTTCTCTGAGCCTCGTGGTCCAGGGCGAAATGGCCATTCACGTGGACCGGGAGCTTTGTGTCTATGGGGAGTGGCAGGAAGCAAAATGCACGTTTGGGCCCCATATGATAACACTTTTGATCACTCTCTGATTGATGATGAGCCTTTGATATAGCAGGCTGTTTGCAGTGTTTGTGGCAGATAGCTGCTCCCCCTCTAGGAAGTAGACCCAACTCGCTTGATGCGTGGGCCTCTTTGATGCTGTTTGGAATGTCCTTGTCCTCAAATCCGATTCTCTGGTGAACTATCCAGCTCTCCTGGTGCTGACTGTTGTCACGTAAGTCCAGGTTGTACGTGACATGGTGAGTTGCCAATTCTTCAAGAGGCTCTTCACTATGAGCGCATTCAGCCACGTAGTCGGCAAATTCTCTTCGATCTTGCTTTGCCTCCTCCGAAATGATTGCTTCAGCGTGATAGACCTCTTTGGAGGTTCCGTCTGTCTCAATGATGGAGATCTTGATCTTTTCCACGCTGTTGAGGAACAGAAGGACCTCAAAGCTTTCCTCTTTAAATGTATCTATGAGTTCCAGGATTGTTTTCTCTGTCACTTCTTTGTTGCTGATTTCGGAGCCCTCTGCCATGGTCGCCGTGCGTAGAGGGAATCTGAACATGGTGCTGTCTGGAGACGAAAACTCAGCCTGGTCCTTGAGATAGCAACCAAACACGTCCTTGTATTGCTCTCTCAGTTCGGCGTCGATGTCCCGTAACATGCGTCCCGGGCACTCTTGTTTCGCTCCTGGGACAAAGCGAAGCTGCGGGTCGAAAACACACAGTGTGTCTCCCCCTGTCATGAAGGACGGGCAGTCCGTCAGGTGGTAGACCGCGTTGAAGCCGACTCCATACTTTCCCGTCTTTACCGGATCTTGCCCCTTACTGCCCTTTCCGAGGTTCTGTATGCCGGTCAGGTCTTCCTCCGTGAAAGGTCTGTTGTTGTAAACACACAGGGCAGGCCCTTGCAGGTCCTTCCAGGCGTCGTCGAAGATGTACTTGGTGCCGTGATGACGCTTGTCGAACACGAATTGGATTTCTGTTGCTCCGGCGTCGTCGGCATTTTGCAGCAGTTCCTTCAGGATCTCCTTACCGAAGGGGTAAGCATCCAGTAAGTTTTTGATTCTGTTGGTCAACTGTTCCACCTGGCCGAAATCAGTGCCAAAACAAGACAGGTTGTGTGAGTAGGCCTCCAGCGACTTGTGTCGTACCGGCTTCACTCCCAACTTGTCCACAGCTAAGTCTCTCGCCAAGCCTTTATGGCAGAACACCATACCTTCCTTCTGTTTAATCCAGGCACAGTCATTGTAACATACCCCAGAAGGCCTACGCAACACCCCACTCTCATCCGGGATCCAAAGGCTACGCTTTTGGATGTCTTCTTCCTCCAGGTCGCTCGCTGCCTTTAACAGTGCCAACGCCAGGTTGACTTCATGAGATTCTAGCGTTTTGTTTCCTCTGTCTTCCTTCAGGTGGTCAAGTGCACGAATGAAGTCGCAGGCTTCAAACGTTTTCTTGACTTTGCAGACCAAAAGGAGAGGTCTAAGTTCTGTGGCCAGTTCGTCCGGTACGCGGTACAGGTAAGGCGCACAAGAGAACTTCAAGCCAAAGGACACGTCTGACGGGAGGAGAAATCTCTTCGCCGTCTGGCTCATGATCATGATGAACGGAGTCTTGGACAGCCTTGTAGCTATCTCATTCTCATTGCATTTTGACCCTTTACAAAGCTTCTGGAGGTGTTGACATGTTTTGAGGTACGTTTTTTTCGTGCAATCCAAACCTTCCTTCGAGAGAGTCTTCATGTCAACGGCGACGATAGCCATAAGGTTTGTCAGGGTCTCAGATAGGTTTGGGGGTTTGTCTTCCAGACCAAGAAAGCTGCTAAGGCTGTGTGGCACTGTGTAGGTGCTGCTGTGTCTCCCCTTCCTTGTTGTGACAATTCTACTGCACATTATCGGACAGGAGACGCCTGCAATCACAACGTTCTTGCTCGGCTGAAGTTCAGCGGCAGAAAGCAGGGCATATGCAGGGTACTCAGAACCTTTCCAGTCAAAGGGCCATTCATGGGCCTTTTGCATGATTGGTAGAAATGGGATGGTGGACAATTGCTTTCCTGCCTGCTGCTGTCCTTTCTTGTCTCTTTTGTCCCTCGTTTTCTCATCGATGAAGTCTAGCAGGGCGACGATTCGCTTGCGAGATGCATTCTGATTGACCTCGTTCAAGCGAACTACCGACTCTGCACGTTCTATGACGACATCCCACGGCGCGTCATCCTTACACATGCCCAGTTCTGTCAACACCTGCAGACGGGAAGGTTTCAGGTAGGCGGTGTCTTTGGAACCATGTGGAAACCTCTGATCCTCGGGCAGGAACATCGCAGAGAGTTTCCCATCGGGGTGTATGAGGTCTCCAGGGCAGGACAGTTCTTGTCCTCTTGGGCTGGTGGGAATGCAGGCTGTGGTTCGGATTAAGTCATGGTATTCTCCGTTTTCCCTGCCTAAAATACGGAGCATCAGGGGGTCCCGTGTTTTGTTAGAGAGTTCGTGTATCATGGGGAAGAACAGTTTGCGGTAGAATCTCTCCTCTGTGTATGTGTGATCGGAGAGAAGCTTGGCACAGCCGGCCTGTTCGAATCCTTGCTGTGCCCATTCGGGAAGCTCAACGACAGTGTAGTCTGGAAGACACTGCTGCAGTGCCCTCCTGGCGGCAACGTTTTCACATGAGTTAAACGCGATTCCAGGGTCAAGGAATACTGCCGATGTGAAACTCAACCACTGTCCCCCAGACTCAAACAGAGGCGGTGGTGTACCATGCGATGTCAAGGCATCGTAGAAAGCTCTCACAAGGACGCTGTAGTGTGAGGTGCCCGTAATGTGACGGGGGTTAGGCCAAAATCTGTGGTACTGATAGGGAGTTAGTATGTCAAGTAGCAGCCCTTTCTTTGCCATGTCACTAAGGTCTAGAAGCATGGTGATGTAGGCCTTGCACACAGCGTCCTCCATAAGAGCCTTGTTCCACTCCACCTTCTGGTCGTTCGGGTCGGTGCTCGTCTCCTCCCACAGTCCTCCGCGATTGGATGCCACAGCAAAACTGCCATTCACGTGGACAGGCAGGTCTGTTCTTATAGACAGGGGTAGGAAGCAAAACACCTCTCCGCTTGGGGGATGGCTATCCTTGGAGGCGCCCTGATGGCTGCCATCACTTGACTTCAGCAACGCTGCCACACCGCCGCATGGAACAAGTCCTTCAGTCTTCCCTCTCTCGGACATTTCTGTACCCATGCAGGACGATATGATCCACTCCTCACTCATGTCTTTGCCCTCCTTTTGTCGGCAGGTTACTTTGACAATCATTGATGTTTCCAGGCAGTCCTTCGAATTCGTCTTGATGGTTCCTTGGCGTTTCACGACTTCCGACGTCGCCAACAGACAGTTGCTTTGGAATTGGAATTTGTCAGTCATTTTGTGACTGTGAGAAGGCGACTGAATCTGCATTTCACGCAAATATTTCACGGGTGACTTTGAGACATGGAGCGTTTCAACCATGCTCGAAGGGTCTTCGGACTCATCCAGGGTGTACATCGTTACTTGTCTGACATTCTGGGTGAAGAGTATGAGAGATTTCAGGCCTTCCTTGAAGCTTTCGGTTACCTTTTTCAAGTTTTTATTGTCAGGCGTACTGTACGACTCGGCGCTAATCTCGCTTACGGCTGCTTCCTGTGGTGTTCTTAACGGGAGCCTGAACAGAGTTCCGCGGTAGGGAGTACTGGTGCTGTAACCAAAGACACCCTGGAACGGTTTAAACTGGTTTATGAACCTTGCCAGCCTTTTGTTCTTCTGCAGGTCAAGTCCGATTCCCGGTTTAGACTTGTCTTTGATGTGTTTTGAGAGGTGCGTGGCGTGTGGGTCAAAGAACATGACTCGACTTCCACTCACAAAACTCGGGACGTCTGTAACAAGGTACACAGAATTGAAGCCAACCCCAAATCTGCCCACCTTCTCAAGGGCCTCCAGTTTTGTTTGCCCTCCTAGGTTCTGGATATTCTTGAAGTCCTCCTCACTGAACGTGGCGTTGTTGTACGCCCACAACGCCGGTCCGTGGCACACCTCCATGCCTTTGTCGATCAGATCCTTTCTGGATTCTTCGTTCTTCCGCCAGTCGACAAGGAACTTCACTTCCGTTGCTCTGGCGTCGTCCGCGTTTTGAATGAGTTCTTTGAAGATCCCAGCACCCCCGGGGTCGTCATTCAATATGTTCTTGAGACGCTGTGTGACTTTCTCGTACTGCCCACACTGGTCGAACCCAAATTCCTCGGCATCGACGACTCGCTGGCTGAGAGACGGCACCCCGAGTCGTTGTGCTGTGTCTAACGGTATCAGTTCGTGGAGAAGCTTGAATCCCTCATCCTCATCGAGTATGTCCTGCGCATCGCTCCAAGATTCATCGTTGTACGTGCACTCGCTCACGGGTTCCAGCACCACACAAGTGCTGTCCTTCGTTGCTATGGGAACCAACATCCTCTCTTGCACCTCTCCATGGATGTCTGGGTCGTGGACTAACCAGCCTATGATGTCCACGGATAACTTCAGATCTCTTTCTACTTCTGTTGACATCTTTGGCGTGGATTGTTGATTAATTTCTTGCAACGTTTCCACCAGGTCCGTTTGATTAAGGCTCTCTTTGACGCCAGCGCCTTTGAACATCTGCTCGAAGTCGCGGAACTCCGGATCCTCTGGCAGAATGAATCTGTAAGGTGCCAGGCTGAAGTTGAATGGGGAGGTCAGCGCCACTGCGTTCGCTGCTGCCAGACCGTCACCCTGCCAGACCCAAGGAGGGAAACCTGGGGATGACAGTAACCGCAGGGCAGCCGAGGCCGATGTCTCTCCTGCTGCCAACCTGGCGTCGATGTGTTGATAGATTTTCGTCAACATCTGTACAACACGGTGCTTGTCAGGACGTGTTGACTCTCTGTAGTGGATGCATAATGTTTTGAGTTGCTCGACGACTTTCTTGATCGGCAGTCTGTCCTTGTCCCATCCGAAAGCAGAGATAAAATCAGCAGATATCCTCCCGTCATCAACAATCGGCATGGTCGCGCCGACGAGCTCTGCACACTCCGAACCTCGAGCATCTCTTGGGCTTACAAACGCGGCGTTGTTTGCCTCAGGATACCACTGTAGCCCTGGCAGATAGGAGCTGGGTCTCTCTGAGCAGACCGGTAAGAAGCTCACGTCCATGAGTGCAGTTTTAAGGAACACGCCTTTCACGAGAGTCGTCAACATCCTGTGATCAAGAACAGACACGATTTTAGCGGCCTTTCGTTTTGTATCAGGCAGGGTCAACTTTCCAGAATCATAGAAGGTCTGTACGTTCTTAGCACTGCGTAGAATGTCCTGTGCAGAAACCTTTTGTCGCATTCCAAGCAGCAGCAGAGGTGCCAGTATAGCCTTCTCTGCGTAGGGAGGTCCTGGGAAGACTGGTTCGCCCAGTAACACACCAGAGTCCGTCTCTTCCGGGCTGAACAGCTCGGTCGGGGCCACTTTGGTGTTGCTGTTGCTTGTCACGAATGGCAAAGTTTGGATTTTCTTAAGGATGCTCGGGTCCGTGCCCGTTGCCTGTAAGGTATGGAGCCTCTTGAGAATCCACAGCATGAGAGAGTCCGTCTGTTCTGTGGTGTAGTCGCCGCGGCGAACCTTCTCTATCATCCCCGCCAAAAGCTCTGTTGTACTCAAATGTTGGAGTCCAAGAAGCTGCCCAATCGTCTGTGATTCCAGGTCTCTAGTGACGATGAGGGTTGTGGGAAAGGATAGACCTTTAGTGAGTGGGTCAGTAGTGAGGTCTGGAGCGATCTGTCGCATGTTCCCTCCGGGACCCAAGGCTGCCAGGTATCTTGGTTTCAAGTTTGAATCATCGACAGCTTCAAAGATGGGCAGTTTGGCCAGCAGTCTGCGCTCCGTGTCGTGAAGACTGTCCCCCTTGGCAAAGAAAGCCCGCAACGCGCCTTTAGCTTCGGCGCTCAACGCGCCAACTTTTGGGACAACTTTGTCCGCCCCGACGGCAATCAGAAGCCTCAGCAGCCCTTGTGGGGTACAGCGGTGAATAAACTCCTCAAGCCTCGGGTGGTTCAGGTAAGGCGGTTCGCCCTCGAGCACCTTCGCGCCCACGTCACGAACAAGGTTCTTGATGACGTCAGGCATCGTCGTTTCACCATATTTGGGACGGATGACCGTCGAGGGCTGTTCGAGTCGGACCATATGAGTCGCATTCGTCCCGACTACGGGGAGGATAGGGAGGCCGACGAAGGGACTGAGATCTTCGGCAAAGTGAGCTTTTAGATACTGCCATAGTTGGGGTAACCAATCCGCGGAGGGCTGCTGTGAACGCGCGCCGAGGTACCAAGTCACGTGACTTACCTGTAACCAATCAGGCGGCAGTGCGTCTCTCAGGTGACTGGCAACAAGCTGCGGGGTGAGATGACGTAGTTGGAGGCAGGGCTGGCCGGTGCGTGCTGGCGAGAAGACAATTGGAAGATTTTTAAAAAGTTTTGTTTGAATCTTTGCTTATTCATGAAGAGCTCATGGAGACCTGAAGGTTGCTTTTCTCTGAGGTCATGAGGGAATAGGTAAGGGTCATCAGAAGGAGATCATATCTCACAATTCAAAGATCGTCGAAATAGAAACTACGCAAGCAGTCGATGGCCAATCTTGCTCACTGAAGGCCAACCGACATAAATTAGTAAAATCTTTGCTATGGAAAGAAGGCTCTCCAGCTGAAATGCCAAGAACCCAATATCTTAAATACGCACCTTTTCCCTCTGCCTCTCTCGCGGCCTTCTGCAGGTGGTGTAGGGTAGGGTTGTCGATGTCCGTATCCAGGAATCGCCCACTGAGACCCGGGAGAAGGGTCCTGGGATGCTCCTCAGAGTCGATGAAGATTGTTTTGTCGTGTTTTGTTGAAAATGTAGTGAAAGTCTTGTCGGCCAACGGAAGGAGTTCGATCCCTTCCATTGCGGCATACTTCTTATCGTCGAGCGCGTACTCTAGCCAGGCCAGTTTGTATTCTCTCAGCCAGTTTTGCACGCCCGTTCTCTTCATGGTTGTTCTCAGCAGCTCCGGAGTGACTTCGTTGAGAGAGGAGCGGGAGAAGGTGTGGTCGACTGCCTGCATGACGTGTTTCGGCAGCTCCACCACATCTAGTCCGGCACCGACCAAGTAGTCTAGAACCGCAGTTGAAACAGACGTCCTATTGAAGACTGCGTCTTTCGGGGTGATCCACTTTCCATCGTTTGCAGGTGTCCACACAACCTTTTGGAATGGATGAGTCTTTATTATTTAACGGGCAGTCCACACATTTCATATCAGTCTGAATTTTGTTGCATTTACAAAGTACAGCTCAGTAGTTTTTAAAATTTGCAGTCAAGATTTTAAACGCATCATCGATTATTTACGTTAAAATTCACTTATCATAAAAAAAACGTGTTCCAGTTCCAGTTTCATGTCCAGGTCAGGATTACTGTATTTATACGCATATACATATAAAATAAGTACATTGTATGATCATACTATGAGTACATTTAAATGTCGTCAGGAGCAGTGATCAGATTAATGTGCTGGTCATTCGTTTAACACGTGTACCAGGTAGGGGAGAGTTTTTGTATCTTTTCTTGCGACATGGTAGTGGGATGTCCAACCTTCTGGTTGAGTACAATGTTGAAGAACGGTCGGAGAGCTGGTTTCCAGTGCTGAGCAGTGTGGTGCATGTCCGGGAGCGCCCGGTAGAGGGCGTCTCTGTCACAGCAGTGCGTGGCGTCCGTGACGAGGCGGGCGTAGGCAGACGGCAGGATCTCACGTACCAGAACCTCGTTCCACCTGGACAGGAGAAAAAAAGGAAAAGTCCTGAAGAAAGTACGAATACACATCTGAAGTAGTAGGCTATGAACATGAGAAAAGCCATGCTCTGTTGTTTCTGTATTGAAGACGGTACGAATACACGCTAACGAAATTAGGGGAAATATACTGTAGCCTTTAGGATTGATAGATAGACCTTCTTACAAGGAGTAACAATACATCCTTTTGAATTCAGATAGTTAATAACTAGAAATTCTACATTTTTGTTAAAACAGATGACGATGTACTCAAGAGATGACGATGTATTCAACAACTTATAATTATATCGGCACCGCCATCAAACAAGAAAATTTTAAAAGGAATAAAAAAAACATATTATGTTAATGAATGAATAATGACATATAATGGTACATAAACTAACCAATAGTTAGCCTGATTACCAAACCTATTTTGGCTCCTACATCCTCTCTCTCTATTTGCGGAGAGGATGTAGGAATCGGGAGCCGAACTAGGTTTGGGAACCAGCTGCAGGCTACCAATAGATACATGAACAACAAAGCCTACTTCGCCGCAGAGTCGCTCTTCTGGTCCGTCCCTGTCCACTTCAGACTCCTCCTGTTGTCGCTGACGCCGAAGAAGCCGTGCACGTGGACAGGCAGGCCGGTGGACAGCGACGGTTCTTCAGGCAGCGGCAGGCAGCAGAACGTCCGCCCGTCAAGCTTCCTGCCTCCACCAGGGTCTGTCAAAAACAATTAAAAATTGTCAATCAAAAACCAATAAAATTAGTGGTGGGTTGCTCATTCCTTGACAGAGGCTGGAGTTGCACAGTCGAATATTTTGTGTTTGCCATTACCGTTCACTTAAACTTGTTTCATAATGACTTCTACCAACGTTACACAGATGAACTTTCAAGATAAAATTAGCAAATTTCTGTCTGAATCTGTAAAAAAAACTATTGATCCTAAAGTCTGGAGGGAGGCAAAGACTTCTGATCTTTATATTTGTTACAGTCAAAAGCACGACCATCAATCCATAGGATAGAAATCTCCAAATCTCTCACCGATGTTTTAGTAATTAACATGATAACGAACATGATAACCACACTACAAGCCTACACTACAGTCTCTCACCGATGTTGTTGTGCGGAGGCAGGTGGTCGGCCATCGGCATCGCCACTCCCACCCACGGGAGCAAGCTCAGCTCTTCGGACAGCTTCTGTGCCTCTTCTGAGATCCCCCGTCCCTTCACGTAGTTTGTGACGAGCCAGTCTTGGGTAGGTAGACCGTCTACTGTCATTGAGAATCGACATGTATTGACGATGGTCTCTCGGTTGTCTACTGGTACCTTCAGAGCTTTTTCCACGTCGGCGTGGAAACGGGAGGCCCTTTCATGTTCAGATGGGTTGCTCATGGAAACGCGGTACTCTGTGGCGCTTTGACCCGAATCTTTTCTGGAAATCAGCTTGACAGACCGTACGTGATGCAGGAACAGCAGGACAATGTCGCCATCTGACTTGAAAGAGTCGAACAAGTCCACAATCTTGCCATCATCGTAGAGGGTCGCAGAGATTTTTGACGGCTTCTGTCTCAAGGGAAACCTGAAGATCGTGCCATCGAAGAATCCGGTTTTGAAAGGATCTTCGGCACCTTCAAACTCAAAGAGGTTCTTAAAAGGAGAGAACTGGTCTTGTAGGCGCTCCATCTCCTCAGCATCGTCTATCAAATGCCAATCGCAGCCGCTCTGCAATTCGCCGTCTATAAGAAAGATGTTCTTGTGTGGATCCAGTATGGCGACACGGCTTCCACTCAGGATCATGGGCAGATCTGGGAAGAAAGGTGCGGGACAACGTTTTACTATCCATTAGCATTTTGTATATTTGATAGGATTCAGGCTTACGACTTCTGAATGAGGCTTTTTAAGGCTTTATGTATATTTCATTTATGAGGCTTTATTTAATCTATGAGGGACTTTTTGTCCAAACATCGACCCATGTCAACACTGTCAGCCTCTTTTCAGACTCAACTGTCAACGTTACGCGACCTTCAAGATGTTTTGTATAAAGGTCTTTGATTCCAGACATATTGATGTAGAGTGCTGCTGTCCACTTTACGTTCCTTACATGTGGCCATGGTCTGCTTTCCGGTAATTCATTTGTCGACATCCATTGGCCTCTGAAGACCATGGAACAACACCCTAGTAGCCTCTACCATGCTTCAGAGGGGGATGGAAAGAGTAGAAAATTTGCCAAATACATAACACACCAGGGGGTTAGCCGCTAAACATACTGTTCACCGCTCTTTATGGGACTAACTCGACAACTGGTATGTTATCAGACCTATCTTTCTACTGTACTCCAGTCGCCTCTTAAGCCTGGTAGACGCGAACATTATAGTACAATAACAGTACGTTTTCTGTACCTTACCTGTAAGATGGTACACGGAGTTGAATCCCTGCCCAAACCGACCTATCTTCATGGGGTCGCCTTTCTTCACGCTCATGGATAAGTTCTGGATATTTTCCCAGTCCTCCTCGGTGAAGCAGGCGTCGTTATAAGCGCACAAGGCCGGGCCCTGACACGGCACCAGCTTGGGAGAGCGGAGTGTCTGAGTGCGGTAGGGCAAAGGACGGTAATAAGGCTTCCTATCTTAATACATGGCAAACATTAATTTAAAACTAGAGTTCCACGATCTCATACCTTCGCCAAATGATGTTAGCATTTATGACTAAGAAATTATAGATTAATCCCCCTGATTGTGCAAATAGGATCCTATATTGCATCAATTATATCTGTTGATCATATTCTACACCAGAACACAGTCTCATCTTATCAAAGAATGGCATTATAGCATTTCCTCATAAATTATGCAAATGGGGTCCTTCTTTGAATAAGTTATGTTTAATTATGTTCACCTTCACATAACTTTCAAATATCCCAAGTATGAAATTCCAGGCAGTTACCACTATGTAAGTATAACATTTTCTAATTAATTATGCAAATTAAGTCTTCATTTGCATAATCGATATCTGCCTGTATTTCTGCCGCTCTTAATTACATATGTCACAAGCTTGAATAGTCCTATCATGGAATGCAGCTGATTTATAGAATTTCCTCATTAATTATGCAAATTACATAACATTTGAATAATTATAATATTATCATGTTAAGCATCACTTCAGCTACCTACATGCCAAAAATCACGACGACCCATCAATCAGTTCTTGAGTTATCCGCCTTTAAACATTTTTCTACTAACGCCCCTGCAGTTCCAGAGAAAGCCGCTAGAGGGCCCAAACTCATGCCACTTCTTCCCCAGCACAAGAGCTACCTACCACCCCAATTTCGTCACCCTAGCATGTCTACATCACGAGATATCAAAACCGGAAGTTCAGCTGCAGTACCATAACAAGCCGCTAGGGGGTCCAAAATTTAATCAGTTCCACGTCTCATGAAGACCTATCCACCTACCAAATATCAAGACAATCCATCTAAGCCTTCTTGAGTTATCGTGCTGACACACACACACACACACACACACACAGACACACGAACGCCAACGAAAACATAACCTTCTTGGCGAAGGTAAAAATAATGTTTACCTTCGCATTATGGTCTGCTCTGTTAATTCATACTCAAACACATTCTTATACATATATGGTCAGATAGGAAGTCTATATTCAAATCCCCCCTGCTACAAAATTGCAGCATGATGTATCCCAACACTAGTTACTATGGTAACAGACGTCTGTTTCGGGTCATTGACCTTATTGGTTTGGAAAAGAAGAAGAGGAAGAAACATGGCAAAAACAATGTTTTCCTTCGGTAAACATAAGTAGAAAGTGAACATTTCTAAAGCAAAAGCATCATGTTTCCTTTCACAAGGTCTAGCCTAAAAAAAACTACTGTTCTGTTTATTCTTACTCAAACTATTCAGACACATATTTGGTGGCCAACCTGTTCAACTTGCTACATAATGTAATCCAACCAACACCACAGCAGGGTGTCTACCGCAACACCAATTCCCTTTGGTGACAGACGGTGGCAAAATATAAACATTTATCAACATACTAATGTTATTACTACTTACCTTTATCAACATACTAGTACTAATAAAATTACTGACCTTTTCCCCGTACTGGGTCTGGTCGTACAGAAATCGCACCTCGCTGGCTCCGGCATCCTCGGCGTTCTGGATCAACTCCTGATGGAAGAAACATCTTTCGTAATCGTGCATCGTGAACATTATTTATTTGGTTTTGGCCACCAATTAGAACCTAGTACTCTGCTACCTAAATCAACATATGAAAGGTCTCATATTTACGTCGACACAAACAGATAAAAAAAGAGAGATAGTGACAGTTAACAAGTACAACACTGAAATCTTCCACTTCTCCGTGATGTACACCAAAAGTGACGGTCCCAAATAGCGTCAGTTAGGGCTGCGTTGGACAAATGGTCGGCCTAGACGAATCCCTTAAAGTACGGAGGCCCGTAAGTACAGGCCTGCGTGTCTGCGCGAATACCTTCCACGTCTGCGCGAATACCTTGCACACCCTTTGGGGCCCATAAAGGGTAGCCCATCAAGGTAGCCCAAGCCCTAGCCTAGCCCAGCATTTCCGGATACCCTTTTCTGTGCCAACGAGGAAGGTATTCGCGCAGACGAGGAAGGTATTCGCGCAGACGAGGAAGTTTTTTCTGTGCAGACGTAGAAGGTATTCGCGCAGACGTGGAAGGTATTCGCGCAGACGTGGAAGGTATTCCCGCAGACGAGGAAGGTATTCGCGCAGACGAGGAAGTTTTTTCTGTGCAGACGTAGAAGGTATTCGCGCAGACGTGGAAGGTATTCGCGCAGACGTGGAAGGTATTCCCGCAGACGAGGAAGGTATTCGCGCAGACGAGGAAGTTTTTTCTGTGCAGACGTAGAAGGTATTCGCGCAGATCTGTACTTACGGGCCTCCGTATTAAAGCTTTCGTACGTCTGTGCGAAAAAATCGGGACCGCGACGTATCGGGCTTTATGGCCCAATGATCGGAATATCGAGGTCGTGGCAAGTTTGACAGTATACCCGTAGTCAAGTGACAATGGTTATATCCGCTTGCATCAAGGTCTATATCTGTAATACAAAATCGATCATAGCATTTTTTTTCTTACCTTCAGAATCTGGCCCCCGTCTGGATACTTTATGAGAATGTCCTGTATGTATTTATACAACGGCGGGGTCTTCTGGCCAAATTTGTGTCCTGCATACGAGAGAGTGTGTTCAATTAGATCAACAACATGTTTAGCGAGTGTTGTGTGTTACGTAAGGCCACCGTGACACCGGCTTAACTTTATGGATGACACCCGCGCGCGCATTGATTTTTGCCTGTTCTCAAAAGAAAAAAAAAAGATCCCCCGATCGAGGCTCTGGCCTGGCTCGAGGCCTGGTTAGTCCATGGTAATTAGCGACAATACGGAGCCGAAGTTCCACGACTCAAGATCTCAGCACATACGTACGGTGCCGATTCATAAGGCCCGCATGTAACGGCTTGTCGTATACGTCGCTATGTACTACCGCAAATTAGCAATACCAGTTTTGTATTCCTGTGCTTAAGTAAATAGTAGCATTTTTTTTTGGCCCAATATTTTTATTCGCCCACGCGCACTAGTTTGGGGGTCTTCAGAGGATGTCATCCATAAAACTAAGTCGGTGTGGCCTAAGTGTAAGGGCGTGAGTGTGTGTGAGTTGCATGGTCAGCATAACCCCAAAGGGGCAGGATTATGATGATAGATATTTTGTGGAGATAGATCTGTTCTACATTCATCAAACTATTAAGACCTCAATACATGTACAATATCAAATGCTCGCTGCTACTTTAAACCTGGTCAAGTTGAAAAGTTCCTACATCTATCTATTTATTTATTTATTTCATCATAAGACGCTTACGTGTAGCCCCATTCAGCTTACATTGGCTGTTTTCCAAGGGAGCCAAGCAAAATTACACAAGACATTGTTACATACAGTAAAACAAGAATGGACATTATAAATTAACATAAAAGCCTTATGCGTCAAAACAGAGTCATAGTCCTATGCTCTTAGCCCTAGCCGTTCAGAGGTCAAAAACACAAAAAAACAAGAGTTCCGAGATCTCATACCTCCATGAAATATGGGCTTGCTTTGTCATACTTCATGCAAATAACCTATACATTAACATAATATATGCTATATGCATATATGGCGCTACTTACACATGTCACGAGGTATAAAATTCCCATCATTCACCGACAACAGTCATAATTGGTATCTGTTGATGTTCCGCCTTCCACAGATTAAATGGATTACATGTATAAAAGAACTACTATAAAGAACACTGTAATTATAGAATTTTCTCATTAATTATGCAAATTAAGTCCTCGTTTGCATAATTTTATCTAATTATGTACAACTCTCTCTCTCAGCTACCTAAACATCAAAAATGATGAAAATACATTGTTCCTATCTGGACTTATTGGCTTGAAAAGTTTTTACCAGAAACTAACCTGCAGTTCTAAAACAAGCTGCTAGGGGGACCAAACCCACACCACTTGTCCCTGACAGAAAAAGCTGTCACCAAAAAGTCAAGACCATAGCATGTTCAGGACAAAAGATACAAAAACCGGAAGTTCTGCTGCAGTACCAAGGTCATCCAACAGGAGGCCCATATTTGACCTTGACCTTTGTCTTCCTAAGACTTACCAACATACCAAATATCATCACAATCCATAAAGGCGTTCTGAAGTTATGCTGACTACAAATGTGCGGAAACACAAACACACACAGACAGACACACACACAGACACGCTAAAAACAATACCTCCATTTTTCATGGAGGTAATCAAGGAATGGAGGTCAGAGTTCAGGTTTCATATGGAGTTCAGGTTTCATATGGCATATGTCTCGTATCTGTGACATCTGAGTAAAGGCTGTAACTAGTAAGGTTTTAAAAAACGTGAAACATGAAGACTTAACTTACGGTGTGCCATGATGCGCAGAAGGTTCACGTCCGTGTCTTTCACTGTACCATTGTCTCAGTCAGTCCGTTTGGTGGCGAGATGATGGAAACAGCGAACTGTGGCGACGAAACAGGAAAGTGTGCATGAATTGGGCACCAAGGCTACTCCTTAAGTACTCTCCAAGCAGAGGTTTGGGGTTATTTTTAGCGTGTTCTTAGACTTTTTTATCGGGTTTCTCTTTTGCACTGAATTGTTTTTGTCTGGTGGTGGGAAAAAATCAGTGCAAAAGAGAAACCCTGATAAAAAGTCTAAGAACACGCTAAAAATAACCTCAAACCTCTGCTTGGAGAGTACTCCTTAATTTCACTTTAGACTAGAAACGGTTTACCACTCCGAAACCCCTCGAAACTATTTGCCTTTGACCTAAAACGGTTCCTCTTTAGACAGAGAGGTGGCAGGGTTTCGGGCGCTATTAGCTAATGGGATCCAGGCGAACAGCAAAAAAAAGCACAAATAAACTGACCAAAAATTTCTAATGTTTGGAAGGCCGTGAGCTGTCATTTTGCAATGCACGAAAAATCTACATGGTTGTACACGGCAAATCCTGAGGATTCGTCATTTGTCGTACCGAGAAGGTCGCACGATTGTCGTAAGATCGCAAATTGACGACATTCTTGCGGTACTTTTCAAATCCAGCTAGTTGTCTTGCGAAAAAGGCTGTTTTAGCATAATCCTCGACGATACATGATATTGTAAAATACAGTGGAGTGTCGTATATCGGGTAAAGGACCTAATTAACTTTATACGAGTAGTCATCTAATGTGGTCATCTAATGTAGCGTCGGGTGGCGTAGTGATAGATCATTCGACTGTGAACCGGGAGACCCTGGTTCAATCCCGAGTTGTACCCGGGGCATGTCTGGACATGCGTCCCGACGTTGTGCCCTTGGGAAAGACACTTAACGCAACTTTCCTCACTCCACCCAGGTGTGAATGGGTTTCGGTTGGGGAAAGCTGTATTGAGGTCACCTTGTGGCGCCGAATGGCAGCCGCACAGATCCTTGCGGCAGTTCCACAAAAATGTGGAACAAATTTGTATCACGACATTGTGTATTATGTGTATTATGCACATAATATTACCCTGCATCAATTCAACACCATAAGGCTGTGACTGCACGGGTGATGTTTGGCCAATAAACCATTTATTTAATGACTACTCGCATTAAGTTAACTAGGTCCTTGCATCTCCAAGCATTATTGCCTAAAATGACATTTGACTCTATGTTCTGTTTGGATATTTGTTGTGGTTAAAAATCACTTTGTTGGTCTATTCAAGTCCAACGTAGGTAGTGTTAAATGACGTGAGGAAAAAACAACACAACACACAATGTCACCCATTACCCGACATACCAACAACAGGAAAGGCGATATAAGGCGGTACCAAAAGTGGCGGTGGTGCACAGGTTACTGACATGCATTGTTGAGGATGATTGTTTTAGCAGTCAGGTGTAACAAAACCGCGTTTCCCCATTGTAACGACAACGTTCAGTCTACCTGTTCATGCTTTGAGGAGAGTTTTATTTTGTTGTTGTTTTTTTAGTTCCAATGTCAGGAAGGAAAACCCTAGGACGTTCTATCTTGTTGTTGAAGCTCCTTGGAAAAGCATCGAACAATTTGCAGTACAGATTATATATTGTTTCGTCAGTGTGCATTTGGAAGGGTATTGGAAGAGTTTTCTCGTGGTGATAAAGCGTGATTTGATATCCCAGGGTGATTAAGTGTCGCTGTCGCCTTTGTTGAGCCAAATCCTTGAGCTGCCACATACGTAGCCTCCTTCGTAGGGCGCGGCGTTACTTTTTTTCGGTGAGCGACGGGAGTTTTGCCGCGGAGGGACGGTTTTGCTGCCGAGAGAGTTTTTCCCGGGAAAGACAGTTGCGTTTTGTCTGCCAGCGAAACCGTCTCTCCCTAGCAAAACTCCCTCGGTAGCAAAACCGTCCCTCCGCGGCAAAACTCCCGTCGCTCACCGAAAAAAATAACGCCGCGCCCTACAAGTCTACGAAGGAGGCTACCTCATACGCGAGAGGTCAGGTTTAGGCAATAGGGGCTGTACTACTCACCTCCATGGAGCTAGCTCCATGGAGCTAGCTCCATGGAGGTAAGTACTTCAGCCCTGAGGCAGATTTTTTCCAGCTCCATGGAGCTAGCTCTACGCACTATGAATGCATATGCCTGGTTCACGTCACCTTCAAGAAAAATGCATATACATGGTTCACGTCACTTCAAGAAAACAAACCAGCGCTATAAATGTCTTGAGAAATAAACAGCCCAGTGCACAAAGAACACACATGGTTCACGTCACCTACAATGAAGAAATCATGCTCTAGAATACATCGTGTTTAAACTTGATACGGCCCCACGCACTGAGAACGATACATGTACACACAGTGCCGGTCTTCTCAGAGGCTGTTTTGCCCACAGAGCTAGCTCCACGCACTATGAATGCATATACATGTTTCACGTCACCTTCAAGATAAATACATAAACGTGCTTCCCGTTGCCTTAAAAAAATGCCACGCTCCAGAAAATGGTTAAATCGGTGTATTGTTATTTGTAAATCTTGGATAATCGTGTTTGGTGGTGTTCTATGCGGCCCCACACACTGAGAACGATACACGTACACACAGTGCCGGTCTTGTCGAGCCTGTTTGCTAGCTCCACGCACTTTGAATGCATATACATGTTTCACGTCACCTTCAAGATAAATACATAAACGTGCTTGCCGTTGCCTTCAAAAAATACCACGCTCCAGAAAATGGTTAGATCGGTGTATTGTTATTTGTAAATCTTGGATAATCGTGTTTGGTGGTGTTCTATGCGGCCCCGCACACTGAGAACGATACATGTACACACAGTGCCGGTCTTGTCGAGGCTGTTTTGCCCACAGAGCTAGCTCCACGCACTTTGAATGCATATACATGTTTCACGTCACCTTCAAGATAAATACATAAACGTGCTTCCCGTTGCCTTCAAAAAATACCACGCTCCAGAAAATGGTACAGAAAATTGTTTGCATCGGTTTACTAGTATTGGTATTTATAAATCTTGGATGATCGTGTTTGATACTAGTTATGTTACGGCAAGGCTGTCCTTGTGTATTGATTGACTATATACACTATACTAAATTTCGTGACGCAAACCATGTGCTGGAATTCATACTGCGTTTATTTGAGCTCTCCAGTTTAAAAGTTGTCGGGACCTCATCCTGACCACGATATCGATATCACCTAATGACCTTTGTCAACGATTGGCACAGAGATGCGATTTTCTGCAATCTATCGTGGCTCAGCTTGCGAACAATGGTGGTGTTCATTTTAGAACTGACAATACGATAATACAATAAGAAAACATGATATCGAAAGGAAAAAGCCCTGTTGAGGCCATTGACATTGTGAAATATAGAATTTTCAGTATTCACGGCGTTGGTTTCCATTACGCCTTCTTTAGTTGACAAATAATGAACGGTCCCCGGGCCCACAAACAAAGGGGACAAGCGACAGATAATGAACGGTCCTCGGGCCCAAAAACAAAGGGGACAAGCGACACTAATTAATAACAGGCTATTTTCAGTGTTTGTCTTTAGAGGGAATTCATTTAAGTGTAAAGGCGGGATTTGAGCTCTGCTAAATCAAGGAGGTTATCCCTTTGGCCGAGGAGGTTTAACTTCATTGTTTTGGCTAAATCCCGACAACGAAAGCAATACGTCACCTAATGACATTTGTCAACTGCTTAGGGTCGATTGGCACGGAAGTGCTAATTCCTTCACTGCTTTCGTGTCTCAGCTTGCAGTGTTCGTTTCTTATATCTAAACAGGATATCGAAAAAAGGGGGGAATTTCCACTGTTCATAGCGTTATTCTGTATTCATTTTTTTTCAGTACAAACGGACACATAAGTGTAAAACCTTTGTCTAGACGGACACAATTAGAGTTGTTTACGACCTTCCTGTCATAAAATAATCTGTTAAAACATCTCTTTTGTATCCTTTATTCACCGTATTTCACACGCACATGGTGACGCGGTTTCTGAAATTGACAACGCGAAGAACACGATGCAGCTACAAGCCGGATGGGTATCGGAAAAGATCAAAGAACAATTTCCCAGAAAACATTTTTCCATTCCTACATAATGGTCTAGCATAACATAAAAAAGCACCCTCTGCTGAAGTAAAACATGAAGTCTACATGTGAACTGCCCACACAAGCATGTGGATGACATTTTTGGAGGTGACGTGAACCAAGCATATGATCTCATAGGGCGTGGAGCTACCAAAAACAATGCCTCAGGGCTGTACTACTCACCTCCATGGAGCTGGCTCTATAGAGGTATATGTATTTTCTTGAAGGTGACGTGAACCACGTATATGCATTCATAGTGCGTAGAGCTAGCTCCATGGAGCTGGAAATTAATCTGCCGCAGGGCTGTACTACTCACCTCCATGGAGCTGGCTCCATGGAGCTAGCTCCATGGAGGTAAGTACTACAGCCCCTTCTCGGTTTAGGGCCAGGGTTACGGTTAGTGTTGGTATTAGAGTTAGAGTTTATAGTGTTAAGGTTGGGGTTAGGTTAGATTTAGTCTCCCACATCACGACTTAACCCCTCCTATCCCTTGTCTCAGGTATATTGGAAATCCCTATAAGTAGTGTCGGAGTCATGTATTCGACAGTTATACAGGTTGTACCTGTGACAAAGAATGTGTTACATGTGCAGTCACGAAGGCTTGACAGTCATGACTTTGATAGACTGCGGCAAAGGGGGGCAATGCAAACAACTTCTTTGTTTTGTCTCACAGACCGCCAAACATTCCATTCATGATTTCACCAGTACATACATGGGCTCTTTTAGTAAGAATTGAGTGTCTGGATCCAGCCGAATAGAATCCGGATCGAAGCCGGATCAAATCCAACCTATTCGGCTCGATCCGGGCAATTAATTACTCTCCAAGCAGAGGTTGTGGGGAACTGATCGTTAGCTTT